AATTGAGTCTAACAAGTCAAAATTTAATAAGGATAAACATGAGGGCCTGCTGTTAGGCCCAAGATCACCACTGCAGACATCCAAAGTGAAAAAGCATGGTTTAGGCAATAACAACAGATATTTAGGGATTTCAGAGGGCAGTGGCTTCATAATAAACTGAGAACATGGTATAACTACCAAAACCATAGGCACCGAGGATGTGGGGATGGAGTGGGGACCCCAAACCACACAACACAAGGAAGTTTAGAAGAAAATTAGGGTACTTAGCCCAAAGAACTTCTGTTGCTTCAACTATTTGAAGGCCTAAGCAGGGGAACTAGAATTATACTTGTTTAGTGGAGGGACAGGGTGTGGGGTAACCGAATTAATACAGGATCCCAGAGGAGGGAGCCTGGAGATGCAGTAGTTTTGCTTATGGAGTCTTCACTCACTTTTCCTCTATCCTCTATGTTGCCATTTTTAACAATTACATTTTCAATGCCTTCTTTATAAAGTCATTTTCTTAAATTGAACTATAGTCAATGTGCAGTATATGTTAGAGGCATATAATATAGTAATTCACAATTTTAAAAGTTATACTCCATTTATAGTTATTATAAAATATTGGCTATATTCCCTGTGTTGTACAGTATATCTTTGTAGCTTATTTTTCCTTGGCTGTGCCACTTGTGGGAACTTAGTTCCCTGGTCAGGAATTGAACCCAGGCCCTCAGCAGTGGAAGCACAGAATCCTAACCACAGGACCACCGGAGAATTTCCACTCATAGCTTATTTCGTATATTAAAGTTTGTATTTCTTAAAACATTTGTATTTGTTTTTGGCTGTGTCCAGTCTTAATTGGGGCAGATGGGATCTTCCTTGCAGCATGCATGATCTTTCATTGTAGCTGGCAGTCTCTGTAGTTGCCACACGTGGACTTAGTTGCTCTGTAGCATATGAGAGCCTAGTTCTCAGACCAGGGATCAAATCCACGTCCCCTCCATTGGAAGGCAGATTCTTAACCACTGGACCTCCAGGGAAGTCTCTTCTTAATCCCCTACTCCTATCTTGTCCCTTCCCACTTTCCTCTCCTGACTAGTAACCACTCATTTATTCTCTGTATCTGTGAACCTGCTTCATTAGCTTGTTACTTTTTTTCGATTCTACAAATAAGTGATATCATATAGTATTTATCTTTATCTGGTTTACTTCACTTGGTACAATATCCTTCAAGTCTACCCATATTGTTGCAAATGGCAAAATTTCATTCTTTTTTATGACTGAGTAGTATTCCTGTATATATATATGTATATATTTACATACATGCTACATCATCTTTATTCATTCATCTATTGATGGACACTTAGGTTGCTTCCATATATTGGCAATGGGAAATAGTTCTGCTATGAACATTAGGGTGCATGTATTTTTTTGAATTCGTGTTTTTGTGTTTTTTTCGGATACACACTCAGGTAGAGTTGCTGGATGGTATGGTGGGTCTACTTTTAGTTTTTTGAGAAACCTCCATACTGCTTTCCACAGTGGCTGCACTGATTTACATTCCCAACAGTGAACTGTTTCTCCACATCCTCACCAACATGTTATTTGTGTTCTTTTTTTATTATAGCCGGATAGGTGTGAGATGATATCTCATTGTGGTTTTGATTTGCATTTCTCTGATGATTAGCAATGTTGAGCACCTTTTCATATGCCTATTGGCTATTGTTCTGCTGAAAGTTTTAAGTTTCATTTCAGGTTCGAAGGATTCCTTAACAAGAGAAACCACTCATTATACACAAATAAACAATTTTAATATTTAACAGAGAAGTATCTAACTTACTTTCAACATACAATCATTAAAAGAAAAGAGAAATAGAAACAGTAGAGGGGAGTAACAGCATATACATCACTGAACTGGACTGACTAACATCCGGATTCAAACAGCACTGGGATGTCCTGTGTAACAGCAATCTGGAGTCCCAACTGAGAAAAGGTCCCAGGTAGTGCATCCACTCACAGGCAAGACTTCAAATTGAAGTTTTGGGGACTCCCTGTTGTAATCCCAAGCTTCAAACTGACATCATCATGTTTACAAGCAAAAATGCAGCTCTAGTTTTTTTACCTTTCTACAAAGCTATTTATCTTGTGAATGATGAAATTTTTTAGGTCCTGAGGAATTGGCCAGATTATCAGGACTCAATTTCAAGACTCAACCTCTATCTTATCTATAATGTCATGCACCTTACTGGTACCAATTAGTACATTCACAAGCAGGCATGTAGTCAAAGCAGTGTCAAGGCAGGTCATAAGCAAGGTCAGAGGCCTGCTCTGCTTTCTTGTCTTTGAAACCTGAACAAGACTTCCTCCATCTTAATTTCCCTAACAGTTATCTGCATGTCCTCTTTGGAAAAATATCTATTCAGTTCTGCCCAATTTCTAATTTTTTCCTTTTGATGTTGAGTTGCAGGAGTTGCTTTATATATTTTGGATACTCTTTGAGTATCATTTGCAAATATTTTCTCTCCCTCTGTAGGTTGTCTTTTCATTTTGCTTAGTTTCCTTTTCTATGCATAAGCTTTTTAAAATTGGGTCCCATTTGTTTACTTTTGTTTCCTATACTTTAGGAGACAGATCCAAAAATATGTGGCTACAACTTATGTCAGAGTGTTCTGCCTGTTTTCCTGTAGGAGTTTTATAGTTTCTGGTCTTACATTTAGGTCTTTAACCCATTTTGAGTTTATTTTTGCATATGGTGAACACATTGGTGTTTCTTGAAGTGGCTCTTGCAAAGGCAAAGGAACATCTACACTGACTTGACCTTAAAGCCCTCAGGATTTCTGCCTGAATTCCTGCAGCAACCCCTTAACTTGTCGGCCTGCTCTCTCATTCCCCATCATGGACAGAATCACCATTCTAAATCTTGATGCAGTCCTTCTGGGTGGCTTTGCATTCTTTCCCAGTCTTCTCTCTCTCTACAACCTATGGCCCTCAGTGCTTAAGACCATAAAGTCCCTCTTTAAATTCCAGACCTAGTCTCTTCTGCCTGGAATAACCTGCCACCCCTTTGTAGATGGTAGCTCTATTCGTTTCTTTGCCGAAGCCCTTCCTGAGCCCTTGCCCAAGTAATACTGTCAGCTCCTTCTTTGAGTCTCCTCAATGAACCCTGACCGGCCACTCATTTAAGTCTTTCCTCACCTCTGTACTCCAAGTCACTCCAGGGCAGGTCCTGCCTTCGTTTATCCATCTTTGTATCCTTAGCACCAGTCACAGTGCCTGAACTATAGGAAGAACTCAGTAAATGGCTGATGGAATTAACTGACTTTTCTTTCTGAATTCTTTCACCAACAGGCACACAAAAAGTAGGTTTTTGTAGTAAGAATTACATTTAATTTTTGAAGGGAGGGGGGATAGCTTCCTGCCCATCTAAGACCCCTGAGAATATTTCCTTGATCTCTTTTTTTTTTCTCAAAAATGGTTCATTTTTTATTTAGCTTTCTGACTCTGTGCTTGTGCTTTCAACACTTTCAACAATCTTCTGCTCTTCAATAAGGAAAGCGCGCTTAATCCTGTCCCAGACACATTTAGCACACGTGGAACAACCATAGGCCTAGCTGACGTGTTTCTTCGTTTTAGACAACCTCATGAGATCTTTAGGTCTCACAGCACGAATGGCCTGGGCATACACCACATGCGGATTCTGGTGCTTTCCCAACCTTCTTGGTACAGAGGTAACCAATTCTATAACCAGGGGTTCGGGACAGCCTGGTTTTGTTAGAGGCTGTATTGTAGGACAGCCTACGACGGTACGTCAGACGCTGCACCATCCTGAATGCCTCTAGATGCCGTCCCCGGAAGAGCTCCTTGATCTCTTGAGAGTGGCAGAGACTCTAAGAGTGGATACAGAGTCCTAAGATGTGACTAGACAGGCCTAAAAAAATGGTTCCTATTTTGAAAGCTTCCAACCCCTTTAAGAATCTACTGAAGAAACAGACCCTTTTCTTCAGGAAAACACACCTTCAGACACATACCTTTCTAACTTGGTTCTGGGACTCCAAGTACCTGTTCTTCCCTAGGGCCTTTCACATCCACCCCCACCCCATCCCCAGAGCTGCCTCTGCAGAACCCCTACCCCAGAAGCACTGGGCTCTAACCAGCACCGAGTATGGTCGTGGTCAGGTGCTCCGTCTCCCTGGTGAGCTCCATTCGTCCATTCCAGAGTGTTCTACTGCCCACTGCTGGCCTATGCCTGGGACCTCTATGGAGGTGGTAGATGTTCCAAGAGGAAATGGAGAAGTTTCACCAGAGGTGGGGTGAGGGGGAGGGAGGCAGGGAACAAGAGGACACTTAAAAACAAAACAAACCCCAGTCACTAAAAGGTAAACAAGCCTAATTATTCTGCTCCACTTCTGGGCAGTGGTATCTCATTACCTAGTTAATACCACCAAACATAAGGAAGAAGAAATGAGTAATGGCCCACACGTTTCTTTTATTACCAAAAACAATTGTTATGCACAAACTCAGTGCCTCCAATCCCATCCCTGAGGATAACCATGAAAGTCCTTGGGGCTATAAGAGGAACCATTCAGAGGGAAATGCCTTGGCTGGTTTTGAGGAAAGGGCCCTTGGAGGGATCAGTTACTTGGCATCCCTGGGCCCAAGGACCCCTACAGATAGGAATGGATGTGAGTTGACTATGGATTTTCATCCCTGTATTTTAGCATGTCTAGGGGATTAGGGTTTTAAGCCTGACACTAGCCCCCTCTACAGGAACACACACACAACCAGGGTGCCCCCCCCTCAAAGAATCAAAACTCTTCAGGATCACCAAAGAATGTGGACTGGCAGAAAAAGGATGTCCCTCAGCCCGCCGAGTGACACAAGCCAGCTCCAGAGTGGACCATGCTGCTCTCAGCATCACTCCTAAAGGCATCCACTGACAAGGGGTGCCCACTAGGGGCGCTGCCACCAGCCCGGCTCAGACTCCAAAGCCTGGAGGTAGCAAGGGTCGGGGCCTGCAGCCTTCACACCATCTGGACTTCTGGCTCCTCAGCAGCTCCCTGAAGCTCTCCTATAATGCCCCCCACGGGGGGCTCAGAGGCGGGTGGGGGCTCTCCCGGGGCTTCGAACAGCACATAATAGACGACCTCCCGCTCGCCCTGGGCATTGGTCTGGTTCACCACGTGGATGATAGGGCTGGATGTGTCCTGAGAGGCCGGGAGGGCTGTGCCCTCACCGCCCCCACCTTCCTCTTCGGCTTCCTCCTGGGGTCCTGGCTCCCTGGGCACTGTTTCCAGAATGATGTCCTGCAGGCTGCTCTCATTCAGAGATGCTCCCAGGCCCGATCCCTCCTGTGGCTGCCGCAGCAGTTGCTGAGTCAGCTCTACACTCTCATAGCGAACCAGCTGCAGTCGCATGTAGCCATCCTCATGCTCCTTGTACCTGGTGGAGGAGGAGGACAGAGGGTATAGCAAGCAGGGGCGGAGGGTACGGCGTGGACGGGGAGCAGACACTGGAGACTGGCGAGGTAAGGGACAATAGAAGGGAAGGAAGAAGCCCTGGGATTCTAAGTGATGGGTGTTAAAGACAAAAAAAAAGTCTTTATTGTATAATATTTAGAAGAAAAGGCAAGAAGGCTCATTACTCAGAAAGGAAAGGGAGGGACTTCCCTGGTGGTCCAGTGGTTAAGAACATACCTTCCAATGCAGGGGATGGGGCTTCAATCCCTGGTGGGGGAACCAAGATCCCATATGCCACAGGGCAACTAAGCCCATGTGCCTCAACTAGAGAACTCATACATCGCAACTAGAGAGAAGCCTGCACAGTAGGGCTGCAATGAAGATCATGTGTGCTGCAACTAAGACCCGATGCAGCCAATAAATAAATATTTTTTTAAAAAAATAGGAAAGGGAGGGGAGGGAAGAGAGAGGAACTGTCTGTGTTGGACAGTAGGGCTGTCAAAGGGTTTATGAGAAGGCCATGAAGCTACTGATTAGGACCCTTGGGTTCACACTCTGGGCTCTGGTTCTGGCTGCAGGGCTTTTGGGATCATTTATTAGGTTTGGTATTGTTCCCTGGATTCAAAAATTAGATAAATACTCTTTGTCCCACCAATATTTTGGAGGTTCCTTGAGCCTAAATGGAGAGAGTGGACATCAGAGCACCATCAAATTCAAGGTTTTTAAATTGCTGAAAAGTATGAAGAAAAACTGCAGAAATCTTGGTAGGGGGGAGGTTGGGAGACATACCGAAAGCGGGGGTGCCCTGAGGGCCACTTGAACTGGTGTTTCTTGCGAAGGTGCACAGTGAGGTTGTTGCCCCTTGTGAAGCATTTGTCACACACGTGGCATCTGTACCTTGGCTCAGAGTCTCCCTGGTGGGGAGGGGAGAGTGAGGCCAGCTTCCCTCCTCCCCAGGCACCCCCCACACTTCTGCCGGCCCCTCCCTACCATCAGCCCCACTCACTTCATGCACTTTTCGGTAATGCGACTTGATAGAATAGAGCGACCGGGCACTGAAGGTGCAGTTCTCGAAATCGCAGCTGTAGGCTGGCTCCTTGCTATGGGTATCTAGGTGCTTCCGGAGGTCGATCAGATTCTTGCAGCTGCCAAGAAAGGTCAGGAGGGATCAGAAAGCATGGGGGATCCTGGAACCCAAGTTTTGTGATTTCCCATACTGTTTCCTCTTACCTGTAGTCGCAACAGTCACATTTAAAGGGACGGGCCTCGCTGTGGCGAAAACGCATGTGGTTTCGGAGGGAGGACGGCAGTGGGCAGGTCATGTCACACAGAGGGCACTTGTAGTGGTTCACTGAGGAGCAGAGAGGCTGTGACTGGGAAGCTGGCCGAAGCTTGCAGGGCAGGCCAGGAGGAGGGGACGGCCGGCTACTCACCATGGTTACGCATGTGGTCCCGCAAAAGCCGCTCTGTGGCAAATCTCTTGGAACAGTGAGAGCACTGGAAGTGCTGCTCTGCAGTGGGTCAGGCAGAAGGCAGGTGGGGCACGGGGGTGGCAGAGAGGAAGAGAGCATGCTGGGAGAGGGGAACCCCCCCAGGCAGAGGGAAACCACCTAAGAAGAGGGGAGCTTAGGGAACTATGGATGGACCTAGTATCATGGAAAGAGCATGGGACTTGGAGTGGAGAACCTGAATTAGAATTCTGACTTGCCCACTTATTAGCAGCGTGATCTCAGGTAAGTGATTTAACCTGAGCCTCAGTTTTCTCATCTGCAAAAACGGGGGATAAGAAGCGTACCTCACAGGGCTGCTGCGAGGATTCACTGAGATAAGAGCCGTGGCACACAGTAAGCACGGAGTGAACAACGTCTAACGAGTCCCCATCAGCAGAGACTGTGCCGGTGACTGAGCCCTCAAGATAGATATGGCTAAGCTGCAGATACCTTCAGGGGGTCCCTTCTCCTGGGAATGTGTCCCCAGCCACCACCCCTAGTAGGACAGCCTGCACCTATGCCCCTTCTTTTTCAATCGCTTACGATCCAACGAGGACTGGCGACGGATATGATCTAAGAACTTGGTGTTGTTGGCGAACATGCCCCCACAGGTGGGACAGGCCACCACCTTCTCCTGGGTATGGCTGCGGAGGTGCTCTCGAAGCTTAAAGCGGTCCTTGAAGGTGCAGGTACAGCCTGGGAAGGAAGGCCCAGTCAGGTCCAGCCACAAACCCCCAGAATAGGGTCTGGTACCCCCAAGTCTCTTCAGTCAGCAGCCAACCCTGCCCTGCAGGACTGGTCCTACCCCTAGCTGCCCTGGTCCCTTAGCAATCCCAAAGTTTCTTTAGAAGCCAGAAATTAAGGAGTGGCCCTACCTTTCCAGCCACAGAGCACCACATTGCTGTCCTTGCCGACTACTTGGTATTCACAACACAGGCTGTGCGCTTCCACGTGCCGGTAGAACCACTCGGGATTGTCAAAGGAGTTCTGTGCAACGAGCAACTTGGGGTAAGGACAGAGGATGGGTGGAGGGACTCCTACTCCCAGGTGTCCAGAGGGGGGCTTCTTGGTTCTCTCCCAAATTAATTGGTGGGGATAGAAAAGTTTGAGCAAGGGGCTACCCAGAAATGAAGAAAGGCTACTAACAGAAACTTCAGGAATACAGCATATCCCAGAAAGGATTAAGAAATCTTGAGTTAAGATCCCCAACCCCTCTCCATCCCTACTCCTGGCTCTGTCTGCTGACCTCACAGTGCTCCCACAGACACAGGAAGTGATCAGGAATGTCAGGGATGAGGTTGCGGCTCTGGAAGTCCAGGATGCAGGGGCTGAGGTCAGCCTGGCTCTGCAGGGCCTGCAGTCCCCACTGTTTCAGCTTGGTGTGGTAGCAGTGGAAGTAGACATGGCGGATGAGATCAGCAGAATTGTCCGGAGAACAGAAGCCACACTCCCGCCACAAGCAAGAGAATTCTTCCTCTGCAAAAAGGGGTTTAGAAGGAAGCGACTGATAACTTTCCAAAGCTCTCCTTTCACTTAGCAGCAAGGGACCAGGCTGGGGTGACCTGGTATACCAGGAGTTCATTTAGCAAATGCTAGCATTTAGTGACTACTAATTGTGTGCCAGGCACTGGGAACAGCACAACGAGTACAAAAAGAGTCCCAGTCCTTGCCCTTACACAGCTTTCAGTCAGGAAAAAAACACATCAAAATAATCATATGCATAAATAGGAAACTGCCACCAGGTGGAGAGGAAGCGTGGTCTAGGCAGGGAGACAGTGTGTGCACAGCTCAGTGCCACTGACTCAGACACAGCAGGTGTGGCTGGCATTTGCTGCTGTGGCTTGGAGTTTCTGCTCTTCCCTGAGGAAGCTGGGATGCCTCCCACTCCTTCCTGTCAAACCATAGGTTTTTCCTTTCCCCCATATTCTGCCCAAGATCAGCCTTCTCTAGGAAGGCCTATCAGCTATCCCAGTCTACTTCCTATCTCTCTAAGCACCAAACTTTCAGTGCTCTATAGAGGTTTACTTGTTTTGAAAAGTAGGTACTTTTAAAAATATAATAATCACCTAATTTCCCTTCTGTATAAATATTACTTGACTTTTGAAGCTATTAGTTATAGATTACAGTCACTAGATTCAAACGGAATTTGAGGTAGGGGAAGGAGAGCAATCTCTATCTGTAGAGACTTCTGTAGAAAAGTTTTTTTCAAACTGTGTTGTGACCCATTAGTGGGTAATGAAATCAATTTAGGACATTGCAAATCACAATTTCTTTTTAATTAAAGAGAATAAAATAGAACAATTCAGAAATAATTTAATCAAGGCAAGGATTGTTTTTGGTATTTCTTAACTTCTGTATACAGGGTTGTGACACAAAATGCATTTCTAACTAGTGGTCACAGTAAAAAATAAATAAATAAAAACACTGCCGGACAGTGAAAAAAGAAGACTGCCAACAGCTTGTACAATATGATCCTTTTTAAAAAATAAAATCCTATCTAATTTATATATATACATGCAGAGAGAGGTCAAAAAGAATGTTCACTAAAGTACTGTCAGTCAATTGACTTATAATGGCAAGAGGAAAGGTTCATTCCACATATCCTTGCTGGATGAGTTTTCCAGAATGCGTCTACAATGTTTTCATAAACAAAAAAAAAAGCACAATTAGGAAAATAAACCACCACTCTCACTGGCTGCTTTCTCCCTCTGTGGCAAAGAGAGTCAGATTTTCCACCATCCCTTGAGCTCTTTCCCATTCCTGTGTCCTGCTTCCTTACCAAGCAGGTCCTCCTCTTCCTCTTCTTCCTCCCCGGAGCCCTGCAGGTGCTGCTGCAGGTGCTGAGTGACGTGCTGGCAGAACTCCTCCATGGCAGAGCACACAAAGGAACAGGACCCCCACTCACACTGCAGCCCCAGGTTCTCCTTTCGGGGAACTTTCCCAGGAGGCGGCATGGCCTTCACTCTAGAGGAGGAAGAAATCGACACTGTAAGGATTCCACCCAAGTGCTGCTGGGGGTTAACATGGGACAGCCAGCCAGCCTAGAGCCAAGAGGTATTTTTCAGTGACCCGTGAGAAACACTGTGCTTTTTCAGTAAGGACAGAGTAGCAGTTCTCCAAACCCCTGGAAGCCGTCTGGTGTTCTTGGGAATGGAGAATACAAACTGACATTATTGAGTGTGTGCCAGGCTCTGAGCTAAGAACTTTGACACTTTTTCAAGGCGCTTCAGAGCAACCCATCAAGAAGGAATTACTCCTACAGGAGGCAGAACAATGCTCAGGTTCAAAAAGATGGCTTTGAAAAATGACCCAGAGCTCAGACTCAGACTCTCTGTCCACCACCTACCAGCTGTGTGACCCTGGCCAAGTAAGCTTAACCCTTCTATTCCTGAACACCCTGATCTTCAGAATGGGGATAACAAACCCTTCTGCTTTTAATCTGCTATACACCAAGCACCTACTAAGCACATTGTGTCATCTAATTACCAACACCATCCTATGAGGGAAGTACTGTTTTTAATTTCATTCATAGATAAGGGCATAAGGCCTGGAGAGGTTAACTGGTTTGCTCAAGATCACACACCAGTGGTAGGGTCAGGTCAGGCTGACTCCAAAGTCCACATTTTTCCTATGCACACATATGAGCCTAGAAGCTCCTTATTTCTCACTGGATCACATTGTAAGTACTCCATCAGACTTATGAAGTGCCACACATACTCCTTTTGCCTAACCTATCTGGTGCTTTACTTCGCCACTGCCCTAATATCCTCTGAACAAAAATGTCAATTCTATTTCACATAAGAGGCAGTTGTCTGTCCAGTTTATACTGAGTGTACACAGTGTTAGGCACACTTAGGCGGGTAATAAACATTCGTTGAAGAAAGCTGAATAAAAAATAAAAAGGTTCTCAACCTTTAATATGCACACAAATGCAGAGGTTTCCAGCTCCTGCCCTAGAGATTCAGATTTGGGAAGGCTGGGGTTAGGCCCAGAAATCTGCCCTTTAACTCAGCAGCCCAGTTTTGATGGGGCCTCCAGAAACAGAGTCTGAGGAACAATAAAAGGATAGTTTCCCTCATTAAACAAAACACAGAATGACAGGTGACACTGCAAACAAAAATCTCTGGGGGAAGAAAAGACAGTAAGGGGCTCTGACTCTGTCCCCTGAGCATCACCTCCCTGAGGATTCTCACCAACTCTCACTGTGGTACCCAGGAAGGGAGTGGGGTATTGCTCCCTCTGGCCTTCCAGAAAGAGGTGGGAACTCTGAAAAAGAACTTTACTACACAATGAAAGGGGAAGACCCCAGAAAATACAAAATGCATAAAATCTTTCATACTTACAAGTATAAGAACCTACTATATCTAACTGGTTACCAAAGGAACCCCTCCCCCTTTTTTGTCCACACCTCTTGGCATGTGGGATCTTAGTTCTCTGACCAGAGACCAAACTGGCAACCCCTGCCTTGGAAGCATGGAGTCTTAACCACTGGACAACGAGGAAGTACCAGAAACCCCTTTTTAAGGAAGCTTTAAGGAAATGGCAACCTATTCCAGTCTTCTTGCCTGGAAAATTCCACAGACAGAGGAGCCTGGTAGGTTACAGTCACGGGGTCTCAAAGAATTGAACACGACTGAGCAAGTAAGCACAGCACATAGCAGCACAGAGGGTATAAAAACCTAGGGTTTCTCTGGAGGCTCAGGGGTACAAAATCCACCTACTAGTGCAGGAGATGCAGGTTTGATCTCCACATTGGGAAGATCCCCTGGAAAAGGAAATGGCAATCCACTCCAGTATTCTTGCCTGGAAAATTCCATGGACAGAGGAGCCTGGAGAGCTACAGTCCATGGGGTCGCAAAGAGTCAGACATGACTAAGCATGCACAGAAGCATATGCCAACCACTGTTCTAAGTGTCTTATATTTATAAAAACTCATTAGTACAACAATCCTATTGAGGTAGGCAGCCTGATTATCCCACTTTACAGATGAGGAAATGGCCCAGATAGGTTAAGTAACTTACCCAAGATCACAAAGCTAGGAAGCGATGGAGACAGAATTCAAAGCCAGGGAGCATGCCTCCATTCTCCTCCTCCATCTGCCTGTCTTACCTTTTTATGTTTGACTCCCTCCTCACCAAAGACGTCATACACAATACCCAAAGCACGCTTTATCCAGCAGCTATTTTTTAAGTTTGCTCCAATAAGCTGTGAGCTCCTAGAAAGCCTGGTCTGTGTTCTCTTCAGTTCTAACTGCAGAGTCAGCACACACCTACTATGAGCTCTTTTAATGTTCAAGTAAATCTATAACATTATCTTACTTTTGGACAAATCACCTAGCTTCTCTGAACCTGTTTCCTTAAAGGTAAAACAGGATATTAATATCACAGCAGTGGATGAGGGATTCTGACTGATATGATTAGAAAGCTCCAAACATTTACTAGCCCTGTGATCTCAGTTAAGTTACTTAAACCTGGGTTTCCCATGTATTATTAGCACGAGAATAATCATGCCTGTTTCACTGAAATGATTTCTGGATTAAAACACATAATGGATACTAAAATGCTTAGCCTAACTCAACAAGTGTTGGCTCTTCGTATCCTTGCTTCTAAGAATTAGATGATCCAAGCACGAATGGTACAAAAAAATCAACAAAAGGAAAACCCGAAGTATTCCTAACCCTTCCTTTTATAGGGAATCATAGTAAGAAGCAACGAGCAAATACTTGAGTATAAATTGCAACGCAAGGCACCGAGAATGAACCATGAATGGTATTAAAGAAAAGAGGGACCAACGTACGGAACCTTCTAAGGACTCACAATTTGGCTGAAGAGATGATTCTGACGTATTTAAACAACGACCAAAACAAAGGGCCCGATGAGGGGAGCTGGACAGGGAGAAACCGCGGCGGCAGGCGAAGCAGGAAAGGTTGCCCTTAGCGGTGGGGACCGGGCTCCTGGAGCACAGGTAGAATTCGGAGACAAGGAAGGAGGCCATTCGATTGGGGAAACCTCCCCCTCTCAGCCCCGCTGGCTTCCCCCTAAGGCGTGGCGACGATCGTGCTTCAGCTGCAACGAAGCCCCAGACTGGAAACCAAGTCGGGTTTGGGGGCTGGGGGCGCTGCAGGCTCCAGGCGGAACAGCGTGGCCGAGCAGCAAGAAAGCGCCTCGCCGAAGCGACCGGAAAAGTGCCTGGCTTCAGCAGCCGGCCCAAAGCACAAACCGATGCCGCCCGGCATCCCCTGCTTACCTCCCGTCAGTCAGCTCCCGGGTCTCTCCAGCTCCCCTCCCACCTCGCACCATCTCCGGGAGGGAGCTTGAGTGACGGCCAATGATAGCCAATCGTCGCTCTCGAATCCCTCTAACAGCCAATCGCCTCTGCGACTGACGGAACCCGTGTGCGACCAAAACACGGAAGGGGCGGGAGTGAGCGGCAGCTGGCCGCGCGGGAAGGTAGCGCTGTGGACGCCGCAAGTCTGCACGCGAAGTGCAGGCGGGCATCCCTAGGGTCCGAATTTCCCCGACTGCGCAGGCTCGGAGCACGGCATCCACTGGGCATGCGCAGAGCTCCGGCTGTGCGCAGAGAGGGTTCTCCCTCCTCTTGTTGGTTACAGCTCCAGCTGGCCGCGTGGGCGTTGAGACGGAGGAAAAGGCGGAGGCGGCTGGGTGCCCAGAACAACGAACCCCGCTCGGCCCAAACTGGGGGTCCTTCACCTTCTTAATCTTCCTGTTTCTTAAATATCAGTATTCCTTATGCCATCTTCTCTTCCTCCCACAACTCTGCCTCCTTTGTTACCAGTCTCAGTGAACGACTGCTGAAACCTGGCAGTCATGTCTGATTCCTCCCTCACACGTCACATCCATTCCATTGCCAACTCCTATAAATTCTACTCCCTTAACACAGGATCTCTCAAGTCCCGCCCCCCACCCCCGCCTCCCCTCCCCCCGCCTCCCCCCCCCCCCCCCCCCCCCCGCCTTGAGCTTCGCAGTCCCATTTCTCGACCATTAGCGACGTCCATCCCGGATGTCTACACTGACCCAACTGGTTCCCTGCAGGTACTCCTGCTTCCCTCCAAATCATTCTCGACGGAGCTCTCAAAGTGATCTTTGCAGAGAGCAAATCTGACCAAACCACCACGCTGCTTTAAACGCTCAAAGCCCCAGACCATAGTGAGGCTCTCTGGACCTTTCAGCATCTGGGTTCTGCATACTTGCTCTCCATCGTATCTTCAGTGCTTTTCGACCTCACTCTCTGCTCCCCAGCCCCGCATTTCTTTCAGCTTCCCCACCACACCTAGCCACCTTTCCTCTGCTGCCTTGTACTTACTGTTTCCTCTGCCTGGAACAATCTTCTGAAACTGATTGGAACTGATTCCTACTCATTCTTCTGGTCTCAAGATGTTTTTTTCCCGCTGGAAATCTTCCTGTACATCCCTTTTCTGTGTTTCCCTATTACAGCTCTATCACACTTCCCAGGTGGCGCTACTGGTAAAGAATCCTCCTGCCAATGCAGGAGAGGCAAGAGTGGAGGGTTGGATCCCTGGATGGGGAAGATCCCCTGGAGGAGGAAGTGGCAACACACTCCACCATTCTTGCCTGGAAAAATTCCCTGGACAGAGGAGACAGGCAAGCTACAGTTCATGGGGCCACAAAGAGTCAGACATGACTGAGCACACATTGTATTCTATTTGCCTATTTAACTTGTCTGCATTCTGCACTGACTCACTCAGTTCAGTGGGGGGGACAGGGAGTGTGTGTGTGTGTGTGTGTGTGTGTGTGTTTCTATACTCAGTTCAGTGAGGGAGGACAGGGAGTGTGTGTGTGTGTGTGTGTGTGTGTGTGTGTGTGTGTGTGTTTCTATAACCCCGTTGCTTAGCCTAGTAACTGAAACTCAATAAGCATCCAAGGCATACTTGTTTAAAAATTATGTACCTTAGTAAAGTTCATTAGGACTGATACTATATTTTCTAGCCTAAATATAAGCCTATATATAAGTTTACAAAATCATAAAACCCATTAAATGCTCAGTGTAAATAAAATGAACTTAAAGATGCTATAAAAAATAGCAGTCACAAGAAAATCAAATTTGTGCATGAAATTTTTTACCAACTGATTAAATTTTGTCCCTATTTTAAAATAAGGGTTTTAAAATATAATTCAAGTAACAAGAATGTTTTATCAACTTTATCCATTCAAAAGCACATAGCTTCAGTAATACTTCACAAATTGCCAACCATATTTTAGTTCAGAATTAAACCACCATAGATGGCTCTTAGCTTTAATTTAGCAATTCCTAAAGAAAAATTCATTCACAGAGCTGTGTAGACTCAAACAATTTTTACAGAGAAAAAATTTCAGGATATCTCTGAAATGCACACGTTTCCAAAATTTGAGACAGTGCTTTGCTGTCTAGCGTAGTTTCCCTCCATCTCAATCTGCTTCTCTTGAAAAGAGGCCACAATTTTGGCTGGATAATTCAAGACACATCCTGAGATTTGTTCTTTAAAAGCTGCCACAAAACCTTGAAGCATAATTTATACTCACCAAAAACTCTGGGTCTCTCTTGAAAATAGAAAATGGATAAGCTGAATTATGTTTTGTGTTTCTTCTGCATTCATTTTTTAAATGTCTGTTTTTGAAAAGTGATGAGACTCTTCTTCACTACAAAATAGGTGATTGCACTGGGCAACTCAGCACTGGAAACTGAGTAAGTTTTCCAGTCATCAGCAACTCAATCCACAGGTCCAGTAGGAACCTGAATACCTGCCCTCTCATCAAAATAATTTCTCGTAAAATTCTGAGTTCAGTGTGTTGGCTGTCTTGTCATGTTGGTAAACAAACTGCCCCTCTGTGAACAACTAAGAGTTTCATTTCTTAGATCAGGGGAAGGAGCTTGATAAATCTCTTTGAGTTTTGATAACTAGAATTTGCCATAGCACTCATACAAATTGGGCTTCCCTGGTAGCTCAGCTGGTAAAGAATCTGCCTGAAATGCAGGAAACCCTGGTTTGATTCCTGGGTCGGGAAGATCCACTGGAGAGGGATAGGCTACCCACTCAAGTATTCTGGGGCTTCCCTGATGGCTCAGCTGGTAAAGAATCCGCCTGCAATGGGGGAAACTTGGATTTGATCTCTGGGTTGGAAAGATCCCCTGAAGAAGGGAACAGCTACACACTCCAGTATTCTGCCCTGGAAAATTCCATAGACTGTATAGTCCAATCAGTCAGTTCAGTCGCTCAGTCGTGTCCAACTCTGCAACCCCACGACTGCTGCACACCAGGCTTCGCTGTCCATCACCAACTCCGGGAGCTTGCTCAGATGTCCATCGAGTTGGTGATGCCATCCAACCATCTCATCCTCTGTCATCCCCTCTCCTCCTGCTGCCTTCAATCTTTCCCAGCATCAGGGTCTTTTCCAATGAGTCAGTTCTTCACATCAGGTGGCCAAAGTACTGGAGTTTCAGCATCAGTCCTTCCAATGAATATTCAGGACTGATTTCCTACAGGATTGACTGGTTGGATGTCCTTGCAACCAGTCCAAGGGACTCTCAAGAGTCTTCTCCAACACCACAGTTCAAAAGCATCAATTCTTCCATGCTCAGCTTTCTTTATAGTTCAACTCTCACATCCATATGTGACTCCTGGAAAATCCATAGCTTTGACTAGATGGACCTTTGTCAGCAAAGTAATGTCTCTGCTTTTTAATATGCTGTCTAGGTTGGTCACAGCTTTTCTTCCAAGGAGCAAGTGTCTTTTGATTTCATGGCTGCAGGCACCATCTGCAGTTATGTTGGAGCCCAAAAAAATATAGTATAGTCCACGGGGTCACAAAGAGTTGGATAAGACTGAGCAACTTTCACTTTCACTCTGTACAAATGAACCAAATATCCATATTCTGCCACCCTTTCGAAATGTTCTGTATTCTGTGGCTTGTATGGACAGGAACATGGGGGAATATTAACAACTCCAAGCTGACTCCCCAAAGGCAGGTACCCTAAAGCCTCTGTGATATAGGTTAGTCAAAATGTCAAGGTTGGAGTGACCTGGAAGATTATCTCGGCCACCCTTCACTTTATTTTTTTTTTTCCACCCTTCACTTTAGAGATGAGGAAGCTGAGGTCCAGAAAGGAGAAGTGGACTTCTCAAGGTCACTTGCAAGGTCTGTGGTACACCCAGGTTTTCTGACCTTGGTTCAGTGCTCTGACACCCTGCAGCAGCTTATCTGCTTCAAGTCCTGAGTAAGATCTGGGAGAATAGGAACCAGGATCCTCGAATTTGCTAGTACCCATGATCCCCTGAAACTTGCCCACATTTAGGAGTGAAAGACTTTTTATGATGAAACCCTTACGAGACTTCACCCTTCCAATCTGTCTCTTTTGAGGCAACAGCTCACTCTTATTCAGCGCTGACTGTATGCCAGCCAAGTTCTAAACACTTTACTCACTTACTTCTCACCCACAACCAAAGGATAGCTACTATCATCACAGTCCCCACTCTACAGATGAGAAAACTGAGGCACTCTGAAGTTACATAATTTGTCCAAGGTCACACAGATAATTATGTGTGGAACTGGGACTCAGATCCAGAGGCTCTACTGCAGACTCTCCTATATTCCAGGAGGAGCAGCCTGTTCAAGGAAGGGGAATGAAGATGCCCATACTAGCTGAAGGGCTTTTTTTCTTCCTGATTGAAATTACCACTACAACTTGACCTTTCAAAGACACTGTGCTCCCATCCTCTCTCAACATGTCCCTCCCTCTCTGCAAGAACTTCACAGACCCAATATATGTGTCACCTACCCCACCTGGGTCCCTGTCTCTGATCCTCCCACTAGATTGACACCACAGCCTCACTACCCATTTGCCTTTCAAAGGATGACCATTTATCCAGTTTATAAACTCCAGTTTGACTTTAATAAATTAAATTCCAAGCCATCACACAGCAATGGACATCATCATCTCCCACTACACAGAGGGGCAACCCTGCTCTTGCTCCATCATCACACAGTCTGTAAATAAAACTCCTAAAGCCATCTCTCTGGGGAAGGCTTCCCAGCAGGCTGCTAGCTCCCTCCTTCCAACAGAGCCACTGCTCACAGAGAAGGCATCAAGTACAAAAATGGTAATAAAGGGGGAGGGAAGGATGAGGAGCAGAAGGGGAGGCAGGGAGTGGGGAGTACCTGCCCCCCATCCCGGGCACCGGCCCGGCATTCTATGAGCTGCCAATGTCCTCAGAGGCAGACACTGGTGCTGGTCAGGGTGGGGACCTGAGGGAGGTGTGGGAGCCCCATCCCAAAGGGAATTGCCAACCCTCCTGGGACAGGAGAGAAGGGTCACCTGGGAGAGATGCCCTCTATCAGCTGTTCACTGAGGGTCTGGGACCACACATATAAATAGAAAAGAGAATAAATAAGGGAGGAAGGATCATCTGAGGAGCTGAGCACCCTGGGACTCCTCTGAGGGGGTGGGTGTCAACAGCAGGCAAACGGGTCTGAAGAATGCCCACAGGTGTCAGGACTGAGCCTCCTCTTGCTCCCAGCCAACCACTCCCTCTTCTACGTCCTTGGAAACGGGTGTCCATTTCTCACACGCTTCCCGTTGCAAGTACCCTTCCAGCTGGCCCCACAGCCCAGGGTGGACAGGGCTTCCCAGAACTCAAGGGGCTTCCCTGGCCCAGGCTGTTGGGAATCCAGGGAGGGGAATGGAAGGGAACGTGGGGAAAGGGCTGAGAGGACTCCCTCTCTCTCCTAGCTGAGAGGGTGAACAGGGCCCTCAGAGCTGAGGGCTGGGGTTGCCATTGGCTTTGGGTTTGGATTTGAAGGAAAAGCGCTTGATAAGACGCCGAGAAAAGCTGCCAGCCTTCTTTCGGACGCTGGGTGTGGTCGCCGTGTTGGAGAGGTCATCGTGTGATTGGCTCAGACCAGCTTCCTTCTGACGTGGCCTCCTGCGGAAGATGAGCTTCGTGCCGCTGCGCAGGAAGCTCACTGTTGGGGGAGAGGGGAGGCTGAGGGGCGAGGTGGGGAGCAGAGCATGGAAGAGCATGAAGGGGGCCAAGGCATGGAATAGAAAAAACATGCCCACCCTCCTTCCTGTGAAAAACACGGCGGCGCTCGTGGGGTTCTGTGTGCACTCCTGAGGAGGAATGTCCCAGGGCTGGCTACTCTGTGAGAACAGACTGACAGTTGGGCCTCTTTATTACAGAAAGAAAAAAGCTCAGCAGAGGTGTTCCTAAAAGCCTATAAAATCACGAAGGGACAAAGTGGGTTGACCTTGACTTGTTGACTAGATTCCAGGATGTGAGCAAGGAGCGGTGTGTCTGGAAAACTTTAAAGGGGTAAATTCAAGACCAATATAATGAGAAAGGTGCTTACACAGCAGGCTTTGGACTTAGGACCCTCATTATCCCAAGAAGTGATGCAGGCTTAAATCATAAACAGTTAAAGACATAAATCATAGATAGTTAAGATAGTTAAAGACGCACTGGCAGAGGGAGGAGGATATTTGGGGCAAGTCCTACAACCTTATAAATTAGAAATACCACAGGTATGCACCAACTGTGTCACTGCTACAGGGACACTCCTAGGGTTGGCCTAAGGAAGGATTTCTTATAGCGGAGAGAGTACGGAATGAAAGGAAAGGGGGAAGAAAAGAATAAGGGAAGGAAGATAATGCCCTTAGATCCAGGAAGAGAGAAAAAAGGTTTTTTTAAAAAGGGAAATACTTTTGCATCTTTTCTTATTACCCACGCCTGTTAGATCCAAGCCAAGACCCAAGGCAGTAAGTCCCCAGTCTCTACTCTGGCGTGGCTGAAACAGGCTGAGAACTCTGATGATCCATTGGAGGAGGAAGGAGGAGACTGGCCCGAGGCTCCCATGTCCCTAAGTGTCCAGTGGGACCCAGCTGATGAAACTGGGCATCAAAGAGGGGTGGGGGTGGGGGCTTCCCTGGTGGCACAGTGGTTAAGAATTTGCCTGCCAATGCAAGGGACATAAGTTCGAGCCCTGGTCCAGGAAGATTCCACATGCCTTGGAGCAACTAAGCCTGTGGACCACAACCACTGAGCCGGAGCTCTAGTGGCTAGGAGCCGCAGCTACTGAAGCCTGCACGCCTAGAGCCTGTGCTCCACAATAAAAGAAGCCAGTGCGATGAGAAGGCCACACACTGCAATAAGGAGTAGCCTCCCTGTCTGAAACTAGAGAAAGCCTGTGCGCAGCAACCAAGACTCAGCATAACCCCACAATAAACAAGTACATTTTTTAAAAAAGGAGAGGCTGTCAATATCACCCCACCTTTGTGATCCTTGAGACTGCGGGTTTCCAGGGCACCAGTAGACCCTGTTTCTGACTCAACATCATCCACGGAGGGCCTCTCAGAAATGTCCGAACGTGTTGTCTCATCTGCTTCCTGGACACTCGTGGGACTGGAGAGGGCATCTAGGGGTCCTGGGGACATGGCTGGGGGGTCTGAGGGAGGTGAGGAGGGACCTTCACTGGGCCCTGCATCATCCTGTATTGAGGCGTCCAAGGATGCCGCATAGCCCAGGGACAGTGCCAACTCATCCTGAGCGATGGGCACCTGGCAGGAAGGACAAGTTTTAATGGGCAACAGTGACCCATGAGGGCTTTCTCCCGAGCCCACCTCCTTTCCCTGGAGCCCTGTTACCTTGGAAACACCCGAGATGATAAGTGTGCTACGCTTGGTGGGTGTCTTCTTGGCTGCCCGCCCACTGGGTTCAGTCAGCTGGCGAATGGCTGTCTCTGCTACAGGGTCCAGGCCGTTGGAAAGGTGGCTCTCCCCTTCTGGATGATGGATACAGAAAATGGGCAACCTGACTCCTCCCCAGCTCCTTCTTGGACTTGAACTCCTGTGCCCCACCCAAAGTGGTTTTTGACTCTGGGACTCCGGTGTCAACCACCACTCACACTTCCCAAGTCCCTAACTCACGGCTGCTGCTGTGGGACGTGCTGCTGGGGCCACCACTCTCACTCAGCACAGTCGTCGTCTTCTCGGTCACCTCCACCTTGGACGGGGAGCGGGAGGGGGAGTCTGGTGGGTGGGGGAGGGTCAGTGAGCTGGGAGGTGCTTTAGAGTGGTCCCCACCCCCTACTGTCTTTATTGAGAGGCAGACTTTGGCTGACTCATGGCTAAGGCATGATTAATCACAGGGGTGACTAAGAAAATGCCATGGGGACAAAAAGATACCACAGGAACCAATAGGAGTGTGGGAAAGAGCCCGGGGGCCCATCAAGGGCATGAAAATACTGAGAGTGTGCAGAGATGGCATAGGGGTCCAGTAGAAGTAGGGGAAATGCCATGGGACCCGTAGAGCTGGGAGCAATGTCATGGAGAGGCCCTGGGAGTAGGAGAATTGCCGCTGAGGTCACTGGGTTTGTTGGAGGCTCCCACTGGCTGCTACAGGTTGAGGGGTGAGGGAGGGGCAATTGGGCAGCTGCGGCTGGGAAAAGGGAAGAAGATAGACATGTGAAAAGAAAGAGGGGAACTTGGGGAGGTGGAAGTATGAGTACTGTCGTCGGGGCTGGTAGGTACAGGCTTAAAGGGGAGAGGGCTAGTTAGGGAAATGGACAGATGTACGGGAAAGTTTAGGGCTTCCCTGGTGGCTCAGATGGTAAAGCATCTGCCCGCAATGCGGGAGACTTGGGTTCTATCCTTGGGTCAGGAAGATCCCCTGGAGAAGGAAATGGCAACCCACTCCAGTATTCTTGCCTGGAAAATTCCATGGACTGAGGAGCCTGGTAGGCTGCAGTCCACGGGGTGGCAAAGAATCGGACATGACTGAGCGACTTAACTTTCATTTTCAAGGGAAAGTTTGAGAGAGGCATAGGCGATATGGAAGATGTGGTCAGAAAACAGGGGGAGTTGGAATTAGGGCTTTCTTTGTCCTCTCCCTGTCCTGCCATGGATCTGCAGTCCAGGGCCCCTGGCTAGAGCTGGGCTCCCAGGCTCCTCCTCTTTACCTAGTTTGCCATCTACCCGGGGCCGGGACTGGACAGTGGTGACTGTGGTGACAATGGTGCCATCCGGCATGATGGTCCGGTCCAGCTCAATCTTCTTGGTAGGTGTGATGCTGGGGCGTGGAGTCGAGGGGGTGGAAGTGCCCAGGTTCCGGGGGGAGCCCTCCTCATACTGAAGCTGCCAAGGGGGGAAGAGGAAAGAGGCAGGGCCTCAGGACTGGCCTTCCCCCAGATCTTCCCATTTCCCCCTCAGGGGCAGCTTCTCACCTCTATTGCCATGGTGGCTGCCTGCCCCAGGGCTTTCCCGGGCCCAGGGGTGAGTGGGCATACCTGTCTTCGGGACAGTGGTCTGGAAGGGGAGGCCACAGACAGTGTGGCCTGGCCCAGGAGTTCAGCTGGGGAAAGGGGTGGCACTGTGAGTTGGGTCCATGACCAGGCGGCCCCACTCAGCACCCACCCAGAGGTGCTCCTTCCTGCCCCATACTCACTGTCTCCACAGCTGCTACTCCTCAGCACTTTGAGGATCAGCTCCCGGCTCTGGGGGCCCAGATCCCTGTGGCCAACAAGAGGTGGGGCGGGGGGGCGGGGAGGAAGATTAGCAAACTGAATCCACCCTTGAGTTGATCACAGGCCAGAGGCAGAAAGTGCGTGCATGTATGCTCAGTTATGTTTGACTCTTTGCGACCCCATGGAGTATAGCCCACCAGGCTCCTCTGTCCATGGGACTTCCCAGGCAAGAAAACGAATGAGTTGCTATTCCCTCCTCCAGGGGATCTTTGAAACCTAGGGATCAAACCTGCATCTCCTGCATTGGCAGACAGATTCTTTACCACTGAGCCACCTGGGAAGCCCAGAGGCAGAGAGAGATGGATGTAAATAAGATGGAACAAGTGCTCCAGTATGCTTCCCAATACAGACTCTTCCTTAGAAAATGGGATGGGGCTGAGTAGGGACCATAATCCTCAGCTGGGCATTCAGATCTTCCAGGTTCCTGCCTTTCTAGTCTCTCTCTCTGTTGAATCACCCTCTTTTTCTTTTACTCAAGTTGTTCCAGCTGCCATGAATCCGTGGTCTCTCACACTCCATTGAAATCCTACTTTTGTTCAAAGGTGTGGTTTAAATGCCACTTCCTCCATGAAGCCTACTCTGATCTTTATTTCTATGGAATTAAGCTCCCTCACCTAAGCACTCCCATGGCACTTTTTGTAAACCTGGACTGGAGCACTTATACCATCTTCTTGAAGTACATCTGTCTCTGCTTTGAGCTGGTGATCAACTCAGGGTTGAGGTAGGTGCATCTTGGTCATGTCTGTAGCCCTTGGAACTAGGCCAGGGCCTGGCATACAATAGAGGCTCACACCAAAAATTAAGACCTGAAAACAGCTGATTCATGTCAGGGTTCTGCTGGAAGGACTTGATCTCAGTTCACCCGTGGGAGCAGGGGTGGGGGCTGGGGAGTCACTCCTTACAGTGTCAAGTCCTCGCTCCACTCCACCTCAGGCCCAGCCCTCGTGGGCTTGGTCCACTTCTGTTGCATGGGGTTGTCGAGTTCAGCTACACAGCACACTTCCCCAGTGCCTGTGAGGAACCAGAAACGTAAAAATGCTCATATCCAAGCTGAGAGGCCATTGAGTAGTAGAGAGGTCATACCCTGGGCAAAGGGGCCAGCAACGCCTGCAGCCACAGCCTTGGTAGCCCACCAGAAGCTTCTGGCTCTTACCTTCCAGCTCACCTCCCAGGTGAGATGCTCGAAGCTGCCTTAGGAATAACCGGATAGGTCTGGGGATGGATGGCTGGGCCTGGGGTGCTGTGGGTGGCTTCTCACTGGGAACCTAAGAGCAGGAGGAGGTAAAAAGAGCTGCAAGAATCCCAACACAGTACACTGGAGACAACATGCACACAAACTATTTGCTTGGAGTGCCTACTCACCAGGCCCCCAGGGGCAGAGCAAGCCCTAAGGTTGATCATCATAGCTGGCTGGGTGCTGACTATGGCATCCTCAATCAGCTCCTCAATAGTAGAAAGCTCTACTTGCTCCTCACCTCTCTGCGGGGAGGGGAACAAGGAGGTGAGGCCCTCAGCTCTGCCTCCCCCTCCCTGTTCTGTCTCTTCTCTCCAGCCCTTCCCCCTTACCTCCCTGGCCTGCAGCTTGGGAAGCACCGTCAGGCTGAGATCTGGGCGATCGGTGAAGGCCCAGGATACAAGCAGGCCTTCACCAGGGATTTCCTCCAGGTTGACTTCCAGCTGGGGACAAAGGGACTGGGTTGACTTGCCCCACTCCTCCAACCCCCTAGGACACTCTCTTCCCAAATTCCATCTTAGAGAGGAACCAAACAGAAAAGGCTGAGGCAAGTGAACCTCCCACCCCCTGCCCAACTCAGCTTCCCACACCCCCTCCACCTGTGTTGGTGGCAGTGTCAGAGTGACGTGGTAGGTCTCCATGGAGACGGCAGCAGGGGACTGCTGGGTCACAGAGACTGGGAACATCACCTCCTCAGCAGAGAGTTGGCAGTGCAGCACCTGAGACAGCCAAGGCACAGAGGCAAGGAGGGTTAGGCATGGAGGAAGGATGCTCAACTCGGCCCTGCCCTGTCCTGCATAAGAGTGGGTCAGCAGACCCCTCTCCAGATTCCCTTGAGAATCACTTTTTGGGGGGTCCAACTCTTTTGCAACTCTTTTGTGACCACAAGGACTGTAACCCGCCAGGCCCCTCTGTCCATGGGATTTCCCAGGCAAGAATACTAGAGTGGGTTGCCATTTCCTTCTCTAAGGGGATCTTCCTGACCCAGGGATCAAACCTGAGTCTCCTGCATTACAGGTATATTCTTTACCACTGAGCTACCAGGGAAGCCCCTGGGGTAGTCATAAATACATAAAAGAATGATAAAATTCAGACTCCTCCAGAAAAATGCAGATATGCACACAAGTACTACATTTTGCCTGTAACTTCAATGGGATTCTCCAACCTCCTGAAGTCAATTCTGGGATTCCTAAGGCATTCACAGACTTCAGGTTAGAACCCTCAAACTAAAGGGAAGTCAGGATCAGCCCCCACCCCAGTCCTAAAGAAGGCAGTGCCCATCAGACCCTTACCATGGTGCGCTCTGATTGGTCTACGCAGGTCACATGACTGATGCTGGCTTTGGGTGGGAGTTGGGGCACTTCCTCAAAGGCGATTTGGATGGAGCTCTGGGGGAGTAACGTGGACATAGGATCAGGTCTCTGGAGCTGCCCCCGCAGGGCTGACCTAGTCAGTTGCTGGCTAGGCCCTGGCACTGCAGAGGCCTCAGCTGCAGGCTGGCTTCTGGCCCTTCCTTGGCTCAGGGCTTTAGGACAGGAAGTGTTTCTTTTGAATCCCACCTCTTCAGGGGTCTGCAGCTGTGAGGCAGCCCTGGGGAGCTAGACCACCTCGGAGACCAGATCACCTTGAGCTGAAGACCCTAGATTCCTCCTTGAATGCCAGGAGCCTTCCTTCTCCCCCCACCTCTTCCCTACCCCTGAAGAAAGGTGTGCATAGAAAAAAATAACAGTAATAAAGGTGTTGGTGCCACCTATATATCCTAGCTGGGCGGGAAGAGGCATGGCTGAGCCAAGGGTGAAAGCAGTAGCGCCACTTATTCAAGATAAGAACTAAGCCTTCTTCCAGCTAAATGGGATGTGGAGGCACAGGAGTATGACTCTACTCATATTCTTGGAGATGAAGACTAGCTCAGCATGGCCTTGGGGAAGTTTACCAGAGGAACTGGGAAGAAAAGCAAGCTCAGAGGGCTCAGGGGCCAGGGACCTGGCTAATTCCTCAAGGCAGAGAGTAAGGTGGCATTAGGGAGCAGAAAGCTGCTTAGCTTAGGTGTTGTAAGAGCTTCCTAATTCTTCCACAGCAGTGGAAGCAAACTGCTGCAGCCCCATCCAGGGAGCAGGGTGGGAAGAAGTGAGGAGGGGGCACAGCCTGAGCACAGACAGAAACAAATCTACAGGGCTCATCTGCCTGGCAAACCGGGGAAAGCCAACTTCTCTGCTACCGTAGCAGTCTTGTCCGAAGGTCAGGCCAAGGGAGAGGGATGGTTAGAACCCCAGTCTCCCCACCCTCTCCAAGGAAGGCTAATGTCCAGCTGAGTCAGCTGTCGTGGGGAGTCAGACCTGACAGAGGGACAAAGTCCAGGGAGATCTGGATGGAAGACTGAGTTCATGGTGCAGACTGACAGATGCCATCTGGCTTTCTGGTCAGCTGGGTGAAGGAGGAAGAGCAATTTTTTGTGTGTCTACTTCTGTTTCCAGGCATCTGGGCAGCTAGTTGAGTGAAGCCCTCCAACTAGTGGTGGCTAGAAATGGAGAACCCTCTGAGCAAGGCGGTTCATAGGCTGTGAAGGCCAAGATGAGTGGGGACCCCAAGACAAGGAGGTCTCCACTTCCCACTCCCACCTTAGTCTTATGACCATGCTTCCTGCCTCACTTCCTGGGAGGCCAGCTGTTGGTGGTGCAATGGGAGGAAGTAGGCTGGGCTGGTTTGTGATTGACCCTCAAGGGACTGCTCTAGGCTCATATGCTGGGAGGGCCATGGATTGTCAATCTCCTTTCCACCTGAACACCTTTCCTTCCACACAGACATGGCAGGGAGCATGAAGAAGGATGTGTTAGACTGGAGCCGTGAAATTACAGAGGGATTGGGGGTGGGTGGGATTCAGGCTTCTCGGGGACCTGCCTGGTCACACCAGGGATCTGGTGCATGAAGTGCTGACTGGGTGTGGTGGCAAGAGGACCAGGCAGATTCTTTCACAGGTGCACCTGTCTCTTTTCTACACCAGCCAGCCCTGCTCTCCCCCCATTGCCCCCCCTCCACACACACAACTAGCACCCAGGCTAGGCGGAAGTGCCCTGGAGCACAGGGATTAGTGTTGCTATGAGAACAGCAAGTTGTGCACCGGTTTGAAGCCAGAGAGTACCTAGACCACAGGAATAGAAAATTTGGGATATAGCTGGATTTCCACAACGCCCAGTCACACCTGAACCCTTCTCTCTGACCCCAGAGGGGAAGAGATGCCATGGGGTTCCTCAGTTGATCCCCACCCCCATACGGTCCTCCTGGCCTGAGCAGTCCTTCCTCTAAAAAAAAAAAAGGCAGAGTGGGGGGACCATCTAGGTCCTGTCCAACTCACCCCATCCCTGCAGGCCTGCTCGTTCAGCGCTCGCACCCAAGCCCGCTGCCAGTTCTCCCGGAAAGACTTGAAGGCGAAGAGAGATGCCAGAAGGCCCCGGACGCCTGGCTCCTCGGGTGCGCCGGCCCGTGTCGCCCTTAGCCTCAGCAGCGAGCGCCACACGCCCAGCTCCCGCAGGGAGCCGGCGGGCTCGGCAGCGAAGGCGGGTCTCTGGCCCTGGCCCCCGCGGGCCCGCGACAACCACAAGCCCCGGGCATACTGCAGCAGCCAGCCCAACACCGTGAGCAGTGAGGCGGCGAAGAGGATCAGCAGGGCTGCCCAGCCCACGTCCCGTTGCCCCCAACCCGGATCCATGCTCGGCGCGGGCTCCGGTCCCGGTTCCAGCTCAGGCTCAGCCGCTGCCCCGGGGGAGCATGGCCCGAGCGGGCCGTGGGGCGGGGGCGGGCTCCCCCGGGGCTGGGCGCGCGGGATTGGGGGCTCTCCGGGGTTGGGTGCCCGGGACTAGTGGGTGCCACAGATCGAGGAGAGGAGGTTCCTGGGGGGTCGCGACGCCGGAGTCCCTCTCTCCGTAATCCGGGGCCCTCCTCGGCTGATCCACCAGTGCGACCGGGTTAGTCGCCGGCCAGCGCCCGACTCCTCCCACGGCGGGGGCCCCGCCGGACCCGGGCGGAGACTTGTCTGCAGAGACGCTGTGGCTCACGGGCCGGCACCGGCTCCCGGAGGGCTGCGTGCGCAGAGCTGACACTGACAACACGGCCGGCTCCCCGCCCCCACCCTGCCTTAAAGGAGCCGCACCCGCGCGGGGCGGGGCTTAGGGAGCCGGGAACTCCAGCTCTGGAAGACGATGGGAGGAGGAGAGGAACGGGGAGGAGGTTCCTGGGTGGGAAATGGGAGGGATCTTTAACTACCCCGCCCCATCCTGGAATCGGGGGTACTCCTGCTCCCCTGAGCTCAAGGTAAGAGTAAGCAAGAGTAACTGCACTCACCAGAGATGCCGCCTCTGCTTTCCCCAACGCTCCTTAGCTTTCCGTAGTCTGGACCCCTGTGAGGTTAAAAAGGAGGTACCCCCTGTGGATAGCATCAGCCCCTTATCCCAACACTCCCAGGTTCCGCAGCTTCTTGGTTCCTGTGTCCTGGCCGAAGCTAGGCTTTGGGTGTGTAGCTGCAGAGCATCCCTCCTAGATAGAAGTGGCTGGCAGAGGTCCAGCTGATACCCACCGGAGAGAGGTTGAGAACATGGAATATTGACCCCTCTTCATCCACTCCCATCCTTTGGAGCCAGGACCAAGAGACACCCTATTAACCTCCTTGCTCGTGTGGAGATACTTCCCAAGCCTGGGGCTGCTTCTGTTTTTAAAAATAATGTATTTCCATAGTAACAGCTTCTGCCTAAGGAGCACGTGTAGAGGGGGTGGTAATGAGAAGGGAGCTGGCAGTGCAGCACTGGACTATCAATAGATTCAGCCAGAGGACTGAAATATGTGATATCTCAGCATGCATCCAAAAAATGATGTTATAGGTACACTCTGGCCTCAGAATCCATCCCTTTTCCTAGATGTAAGGGGATGGATTCCATTCCCATAGGACAGAGGCTTGTCATTGCTTCCTGGAGGCAGGGGAAGGAAAATTCTACAAAAGGATTCAGAGGAATCTCCATTCCCCAAGAGGCTCTTTTTCTCCACGTACATATGGCAGGCCTTCCTTAGAGAGGTAAACAGGAAGGTGTTAAGTATCTCTCTCCCAAATCCAGTCATTACTCTGAGCAATGAGCACATGGAAGTAAACAATGTCCTCTTAAAGTGTGGGGTTGCAGAGCTAAGCAGAACCTGCCAGGTTAGCGACAGGGTGCCTGAGCCATGGGAGGTGTAGGAAAGCCTGGGGCATCCCCAGATTTCACTCTAAGGAATGGGGTGTGGGTGACCTTGCTGTGGCCCTGCCCATGCATCATCACTGGATCCCACAAACTATAGGTTTCCCTTGTAGCTCAGTTGGAAAAGAACGTGCCTGCAATGTAGGAGACCGGGGTTCGATCCCTGGTTCAGGAAGATCCCCTGGAAAAGGAAATGGCATCCCATTCCAATAATCTTGCTTGGAGAATCCCACGGACAGAAGAGCCTGGCGGGCTACAGTCGATTGGATCCCAAGAGTCAGACATGACTTAGCAACAAAACCACAAACTACAGAAGTCTTAGAGTGTGGATTTTAGGGGCAAAAAGAGTGGGGACCCTGTCTTAACTCATCTCTCTTTCCTCATATTCAGTCAAGATACTTTAATATAATGAAGTCAACTCCTTCAGGAAAACAATCATGTTTATATCAGTTTGTATCCCTACAGTACTTAAAAGTTTCCCAAGCACAAATTCTTTGTAATTTTAAGAAGTCTAACAGAGGGACTTCCCTGGTGGTCCAGTGGCTGGGACTGTCTGTGCTCCCAATGCAGGGGCCCCGAGTTTGGTACCTGGTCAGAGAATTGGATCCCACGTGCCACAACTAGGAGTTTGCATGTCACAACAAAGATCGAAGGTCCTCCGTGACGTGGCTAGGACCCAACACAGCCAAATAAATAAATATAAAGAAGCCTAACAGAAAATATTCCAATATACCTGTAAACACTGAGAATTTCTATACTGTTTCCATCTTTTGAAAATCTATTTGTATCATCCAAGTGGAATGGGAGATCTTGGGGCTTGCTGATAAAGGAGAGGCAGGAAGAAATGGAAAAAACTCAGTCGCCTGGAAAAAGCCACAGATATGGTCCTGTAAGTATCATAGATCCAAACCCTCCAAAGCTGTCTCATAATGACTTGTTCAGCACTGTGAAACATTTCTAGGACAGTCTTTTCAGGCAATCGGACTTAATAATGCATTGGCTTTGCTTACGGGAAGGTACTCAGGGCTCCCTAGCAGGAGATGTGCATATCAGACCTTGCCTGCTCAGCCCAAGAAACCAGCTGAAACCATTGACAACCCACCTGATCCATGGATCCTAGGATGAGCGTCAGCATATAGGCAGATGCTTTGAATTCGTATCAGGACAGGCACAAAATTTCAAGTATGCCCAATCATGCGTTTGTTCCTCCTTGTGAGTCTGATAATCAACTGGGCATTTACCATCATGGGAACAAAAATATTCCGATTATATAAGAAGTATCCAAGTAACCATGTTCTGATAGTAACATGTATTCATGGACCTTGAATCCCCGGTGTCTTGTTTTTGAACAAGTCCCCTACCCTCTTCCAGTGGGGGTTATAGGGGAGGGCTAACGATCTCTGGAGAAAAAAGAGAAGACAAAGGTTCCCAATGCCAAGATAGGAAGATTTATTAGGATTGGCCTCCTAATAAAACAGGAAATAGATACAAATTATTCCTCAGATCTCCAGGGAGTCTCAGTCTGCTCCTGATCAACAAGATAACTGAATGCTGCCTCCTCTGGGGCTCTCACAAGCTCCTCCTTTCCACCTGCTCCTGGTGTCTCACTTTCCCTGTTTGAAAGGCCCTTCCACTCTTGTCACATACTGAAATCCTTGGAGATATTACTCTTCCTCAAGGTCCTCTCACTTCCCCTGGTCACAACTAATTGTTCTCTCCTATTGCCCTCTGTACCTCTTTCAGATGGAGACTGATTATATGTATTGATGCCTTCTATACAGATATCTGTGTGCTTAGCCCCAGGGAGACACCCTGTGGAACAGAAAACACTTTGCCTCTAGGGGGTTTCCAGTCTAAGAGGCACAGATGCACATTCATGTACCTATGTGCAGCTGCACACTCACACACAAAAACAATACCAGTGGGATAATAAGTACTGAAAAACTGGTGGAATACAACTATCAAGTAAATACTGGCTTGGTATATATATAAGCCATATATATGGCTTTATGTTGTTAATCAGAGCCACCTTCAAGTAGAAAGGACATTTGAGAGACAAGATGGACTACCTTTGACCTAAAAAGAGTCAACCTGACTCTGACTCCTATTCAAAAGAATGAAGAAACTATCAGCATACTTGAGTTCTCTCCTCAACTTCCTCGTGATGATTTCTTCCCTGAGGACTGGAAATCATTTGCCCCCTAAGAGCCTGTGAATGCGTGTAAAAGGGAAACAGGTGCCAAGCAAAAGGCACCTGAGCTGGAGGGAGAACCCTGCCTGGGAATTCCTCAGGTTACAAGAAGCCAGCCACTTTTGGGTCTGCTTCTCCTATTTAGGTCTTTCCAAAGCCTCGGTCTCACCTCCTCGGACTGGAAGGCTGCCACAGTCTAATGATCCAGTACGAAGGAAAGTCAAGTACTGGGTTAAATCCAAGACCTGAGAGCACTCCCCGCCCCATCAGTTCTGAAGTGCGCAGCTATGTTGCCCGGCAACTAACTGCTACTGCGGGGGTAGAAGGTGGGTGGGATGATGAAGGAAAAGTACCTGAATCAAGGACACCGGAAAACATGAAGTGGGAGGGGCTTTTCAAGTGTCGGCGCTTAAAATTTACATCATCTTCCAAACTGTAGCTGAGTTTCGGGGAACTGAGTTGTATTTACCTTGGCTTCCTTCTCAACGTTGACTACCTTGGCAACAGGTTTTCTACCAGGAGCAGGTGCTGCTCCACATCCTTATCCCGCCTGCCCTCTTCGCCCCCGCCCCTTGCTTCCTGTAGCCATCTTCCCGGTTCCTGAGGCTTCCCAGAGTAAACGCCAGGCATTGGCTCTTTTAGCGTGACCAGCGGAGGCCAACGGAGCTAAACCTGACGTGGAACCAAAAATAAGCCGTGTCAGACACGTGGTACAAGGAAGCGTTCATCTTGGAACCTGGCAAGGAGTTTTTCCCCTCTGGGCTGTACATCTTTAATATGATGTTGGGAAAGAATCTGCTTTTGTTTGTCCTTCTTTAATTGCTTTTCCAGATCCCTGGTGATGATTCATCTCTCGAATAAAGGGTGTGGTTTAAAAAATCACACTTCTGTCCCCACTATTATGCCCGTATTAAAAATGGCCGCCTCCTTCCAGTGATCGTTGCTCTGCGAACTAGATCCGGGCGGAAACAGTGGGTAAGCAGAGGCAGAGAGGCAGAGCCAAGGTTGCTTCATAGAGGCTCGCGGGAGTCAGAAGGCGGCTCAGGTCAGAGTTCTTGGGTTTTGCTCATGCTGCTGTAGGAAGAGCCAGCCTGTGGGGAGCGGCCACACCTTACTGCTGGAGCTTGCCCATTAGCTAAGAAGGCGGCCGAGTGGGCCCCCTGGCAGGTCACCATGTGGGCCTTCCCGGAGTTGCCGATGCCGCTGTTGGTGAATTTGATCGGCTCGCTGATGGGATTTGTGGCCACACTCACCCTTATCCCTGCTTTCCGAGGCCACTTCATCGCCGCGCGCCTCTGTGGCCAGGACCTCAACAAATCCAGCCGGCAGCAAATGTGAGGGGCCGGGCAGGGGGGGAAGGGGTGTGGGCAGAGGCGGGGACTGGAATGCTTGACTGCGCTCGAGACAAAGCGCTAACCTAGGAGCCAGCCCGGGATTCTGGGAGGTGGAGGGCAGATCTGGTTAGTATTGGGGAAGGGATGGAGGCGGAAAGGTGGGACCCTTGGGTGTATCTGGGATTCCAGTGGTGGTGCCCTTCCCCGCCAAGTTAAGTGACGGTACTGCTTGCATTAGTGAGTGACCACGCCCCCTTTCCTCTTTTCCCCTCTCCACCTGACATGCTGCTGGGCCACAGCCCAGAGTCCCAGGGAGTGATCAGCGGTGCTGTTTTCCTTATCATACTCTTCTGCTTCATCCCTTTCCCTTTCCTGAACTGCTTTGTGGAGCAGCAGTGTAAAGTCTTCCCCCACCATGAAGTAAGTGGGTTATTGCGGGCGGCTGCCTGGGGCTAGGGCTAAGAGTTAGTGAAGACAGTTGGGGTTATTTGGATTTGCGGGGAGGAGCTGAGAACGAACGAAAAGACGGGTCTTCTTGAAAGGAACTGTGAAGTGGGAGTAGACTGGAGCCATGACATGCCCGAGCCTCCCCCAGTTTGTGGCCCTGATAGGTGCACTCCTTGCCATCTGCTGCATGATTTTCCTGGGCTTCGCGGATGATGTACTGAATTTGCGCTGGCGCCATAAGCTGCTGCTGCCCACAGCTGCCTCACTACCTCTCCTCATGGTCTATTTCACCAACTTTGGCAACACGACCATTGTGGTACCCAAGCCCTTACGCCCGATCCTTGGCCTGCATCTGGACTTGGGTGAGTAGCACGGCCACTTCTGCCCCTATGACCCCTATTTCAGGGCACCCTTACCAACCACCCCCCTACCCCGGGGGGGGCGGTATCTGGCCGTGCATCCTTCCTTGTGCTCCACATTCTCCTTCCTGATTTGTCCCCCCATGTCTTCTTAGATCCTTTTGTTGACCTTTCATCCCACACTCAGTCCTCACCACTTTTGTCAAAAGAATATCCTTAAATCCTCATTCCACAGGCGGCATTACTTTTCTTACTGTCTTCTTCCCGCAGGGATCCTGTACTATGTCTACATGGGGCTGCTGGCAGTGTTCTGTACCAATGCCATTAATATTCTAGCAGGAATTAATGGCCTTGAGGCTGGCCAGTCACTCGTCATTTCTGCTTCCATCATTGTCTTCAACTTGGTGGAGCTGGATGGTAGGTGGGATTGGAATAGGGAGAGAAGTCTGAGTACTAAGGAAGCGGCCTGATCTCTGGCTTTGGGGAATTCAGAAAAAATGTGATATGTGAGTAATTATGGAAAATAAGGGGAGCTATTTACCTATTAATAGTAAGTCACAAATAGTAACTAAGATTTGTTAAATGTGAGAAAGAAAGCCCTACCATTTATAAAGGGATTGTCACTAATAGGTAGGCCATAGTCTTCTCCTGTTGAACATAAACAATTTTATAAAACCCCAAATCAGACAGGTTAACTCTTCTCTGTGACCAAAACCAGACCCCCTCTATAACTGTGTCTGAGAATAGACAAAACCACAGGAACACAGTACATCTCACAATGACCAAGATCCCCTGCTGGCTAAAATGAGTGGTTGCTGGTTCCTTCTGATAACAGCTCAGTTCTTCTCACTTCTTGGATAAAAATTACTAAGCTTCTCAATCATGGCACTAACACTGCTGACAGCACCCAGTCCAGGGCAAAACTCTGCCTCCTTGCATCCTCCGCAGAATTACTTAAATCGTATAACGAGTACTCCTAACACCTCCTTACTGAGGCATCCTAAGGTTCCCCACAGTGTGTGGGTTCCAAAGTGTCCCTTGTTACACCTCAATAAACCTAGCTTTGACTCCAGGCATGTTTCTAGTGGTCTATGGCTGAAGGACCTCCATAAGTGCTTATTAAAGTTAAGCACTTTAAAAATGCAATCTCACTTTAAACTCTGTAGCCACTCTATGTGGCAGGTTTTTTTTTTTTTTTTTTTTTTTATTAGTTGGAGGCTAATTACTTTACATCATTGCAGTGGTTTTTGTCATACATTGAAATGAATTAGCCATGGATTTACATGTATTCCCCATCCCGGTCCCCCCTCCCACCTCCCTCTCCACCCGATCCCTCTGGGTCTTCCCAGTGCATCAGGCCCGAGCACTTGTCTCATGCACCCAACCTGGGCTGGTGATCTGTTTCACCCTAGATAATATACATGTTTCGATGCTGTTCTCTTGAAACATCCCACCCTCGTGTGGCAGGTATTTTTATCAATCTTTTTTCACAGATAAGAAACTGAGACTCAGAGAGGTTAAATGTGTCATGATCAAGGTCACTCAGGAAGTAAAGCTGACATTCAAACCAAGGTGTGAATGGTCTGAACCAAATGTAAGACAGTAACTAGTTTAGGAGGGGTTCATGAAAGAGGTGAAGTACTGGAAATTGCCTGAGTGATATAAAAGGGGTATTGAGTCCTTGAGACTTTAGAGAGGTGGGCTGTATAGCTTGGGACAGAACTTAGAGACAGAGGAAAATAGGACCATGATGTGCAGGGGAAGTGGACATCAACTTTTCCTTCTTTCTTTTCCCCCTTCTTCCAAAGGTGATTATCGAGATGATCACATCTTTTCCCTCTACTTCATGATACCCTTTTTTTTCACCACCTTGGGACTGCTCTACCATAACTGGTAAGTAGGCCTGTGGACAGGGGGGACAGCTCTTTAGACATGTGGCAAGTATCGTCCTGATTGTGACCCATCTCCTGATACAGAGGCTAAACCTGCACATCTCTGTATTGTTCTCTGGGTCTTTAGTTGGTAATATTCTTAAATCTTGGGCTTCCCCAGTGGCTCAGTGCTAAAGAATCCACCTGCAATATAGGAGACCTGGTTCAATCCCTGGGCCAGGAAGATTCCCTGAAGCAGGACATGGCAACCAACTCCAGTATACTTCCCTGGGAAATTCCATGGCAGACTACAGTTCATGGAATCACAAAGAGTTAGACATGACTGAGCAACTTAACATGCATGCATTTGTAAACCAGTCACTTGGGCAGATGCTGTGGAGCCCCCAGGAATAGAAGGAATCAGGGCCTTGGTTCCTGGAGAGTTGCTGGGAGAGCAGGAACCCTCTCTGAGCCAAATCTAGCCAGGGCTAGCCCAGTGCCCAGGATGTGTGATGTGAGATAAAGGATTGCTAACACCTCTTGCTGCTGGCTCAGATCCTCTCCCCCACACAGGTACCCATCTCGGGTGTTTGTGGGAGATACCTTCTGTTACTTTGCTGGCATGACCTTTGCCGTGGTGGGCATCTTGGGACACTTCAGCAAGACCATGCTCCTCTTCTTCATGCCCCAGGTGTTCAACTTCCTCTACTCACTGCCTCAGCTCCTGCATATCATCCCCTGTCCTCGCCACCGTATGCCCAGGTAGCTTTGGGGCTTGAAAGGGACATCGTAGCTTTGTCACTTGGGATGCCTTAGACGTTTGCTGTGCAAAGGGAGTGGACCCAAAGAAGGGCTCTCTCCATACAGTTAGCCCGTTATACATTACAGAGCACATTTAGTTACATGATCTCATTTAATGTTCACAGAAGCACAAATCACACAGAAGTATGCAGCAGAATCAGAAATAGATCTCAGGGTGTTTGACTCTACATTCAGTGCTCTTTCTATGAATTAACCACAGTGAGGAGAGTTCTTGGTGTAGTGGCCCAGTCACATGAAGCTCTCTTCCCCCGCAGACTCAATACCAAGACAGGCAAACTGGAGATGAGCTATTCCAAGTTCAAGACCAAGAGCCTCTCTTTCTTGGGCACCTTTATTCTAAAGGTAACAGGGTAACAAGGAGGTAAGGCTCTAGGCTGCCATTCTGAATTCAGGGAATGGGAAAACCTAGGCCTACATCAGACCCAAGGGGAGTTTGCAAGCATTCAGAAGATCCCATTCCTGAAGCATAAGTATTAGCAAAAGTTCTCTCCACTTTTGGCCCCTCCAGGTAGCAGAGAACCTTGGGCTATTGACGGTGCGCCACAGTGAGAATGACGACGGTGCCTTCACGGAATGTAACAACATGACCCTCATCAACTTGCTACTTAAAGTCTTTGGGCCCATGCATGAGAGAAACCTCACCCTCTTCCTGCTGTTGCTACAGGTGCAATGCTCTTGGGGGTGTGGTTTACACCTCGTCTCCCTTTCTCCAGCGTTCTTACTATAGTTCATTTCTCCTTGCAGGTCGTCGGTAGTGCTGTCACCTTCTCCATTCGGTACCAGCTTGTCCGACTCTTCTATGATGTCTGAGTCCCCTGATCCATTGCCCTTTGCCTCACAGCCTCCAGGGTTCCTGACTCAGGCCACCATCTCCTGGACCAAGACTGCCAACTGGCCCAGGCCTCTCCCACCCTTCATTTTCCTCCAGATTTTGTTCTCAGCATTTCCTTTCCTGTGATTATTGACACCTGGGCCTGTCTTGCTCTCTAATGACTGGTGATTGGGCTTTGCCTATGGCTTTCTTCAGCTTGCCACTCTCCCTCTCCATCCCATCTTTGCTGCCTCTTAAGTTGGGGTACTGTAGCTTTTATGCAATTGCCCACAACTCTGACACTCAAGGAAAATGCTGGACTTGGAGACAGAACCCTGTCTGGGGATAGGGACACAGGTTCAAAGGTGACTTGACATTTGACTATAAATTAAGTATCCTGATGATTAAGAGTAGACCGGGGGGCCAGGTGCTCCCAGTGGTGACAATAAAGTATTGTCTTTTTCTTGTTGTTCCTATAGGTGTATTTCCTATATGGGCATTGTAGGGTGGATGGGGAAGGTTGAAGGAGGTATTTCCTCAGAGAGGATGCCTATCTCTGTCCCATCCTTTTTTCTTTCTTTTTTTTTTAAGCACATCAGGCGCCTCCTAGCAAGAAGTGATCAGAAAGAACAGACCAGACAGAACATGTTGAATAAATGTGAAATCCTTCTGATCAGGTGGCATAAAGAGCCATGATTGGCGTTATCTGTTCTCTGGGAAAGGATTGGACTTTCAGGGGGTCTCATTCCTTCCCCTTTTCACTCTCCTTTTGCCAGGTAGGAGGAGGGAGTGACCAGACCTAGGACGGGAGGCAGAGGTAGTTGTGGTGTTGACTCTTTTCCTTTAAAAGTCCTAGGCCTGCCGTGCGCAGACTTCCCAGACGCTCTTGAGGTGGCTTCCGACTCTACTGTTCTCGTCTTCCGGTTCTGGGCTCGGGCTGTAGCGTTTAAATCTGGCGCGCTTCACTTGGATTGGCTACAGCCGAGACTGGCTGGCTGTCGGCTAGTCTCTGCGCCTCCTCGCCCGTTCCCCGGGCAAAAGGTTTTCAAATTCGACCAATCGGCGGACGCGTTCCCTCAGCGGAGGCGCGTCACCAAAGAGTTAACCGCAGCCAACCAGAGGCGTGTATTAGAGAAAAGAGCCAATCAGGAGGGCGCGGGGGTGTGCCCTGAGGGGCTTATAAGGGCGGCCCCTGGGCGCGCGCGGAAGCGTTAGATTGCGGCGGGTGGTTGTCCCTCTGTTTTGTTAGCCTTCCTCCTCACCGCTCCTCTACCTCATACAGCATGTCGGGCCGCGGCAAGACCGGCGGCAAGGCCCGCGCCAAGGCCAAGTCGCGCTCTTCGCGAGCGGGCCTCCAGTTTCCCGTGGGCCGCGTGCACCGGCTGCTGCGGAAGGGCCACTACGCCGAGAGGGTGGGCGCCGGCGCGCCGGTCTACTTGGCGGCGGTACTCGAGTACCTCACCGCTGAGATCCTGGAGCTGGCGGGCAATGCGGCCCGCGACAACAAGAAGACGCGGATAATCCCCCGCCACCTGCAGCTGGCCATCCGCAACGACGAGGAGCTCAACAAGCTGCTGGGCGGCGTGACGATCGCCCAGGGAGGCGTCCTGCCCAACATCCAGGCCGTGCTGCTGCCCAAGAAGACCAGCGCCACCGTGGGGCCGAAGGCGCCCGCGGGCGGCAAGAAGGCCACCCAGGCCTCTCAGGAGTACTGAGGGCGCCCGTGCCGCCACCGCCCGGCCCTCCCCTCTACACCACAAAGGCCCTTTTAAGGGCCACCACAGCGCTCACGGAAAGAGCTGGGCCACTTCGGGCTCCGGGCCGGGAGGCCGCGCGCTCGCCCCTTCCCGGCCCGCCCCTCCCCCCGCGGCTCGCTCCCGCCGAGGCTCGGCGGAGGGCGTGCGTTCGAACGCCGCTCGGCCCTGAGAGCGAGCTCGTGACTCGGCCGGCTTGGCCCCAGAATGCCGATGGGCTGCGGGGAGGCCGCGGCACCTTGCGGAAGGCTGGGCCGGCCGAGCTGACGCAGGGCCGGGGAGTGCGGGAGGAAGGTGAGTCTGTGCGGACGGTCGCCGGCGAGGCAGTGCGCTCTGCTACAGCTCGGTGCTTCGGGATGGACTCGATTGTCGCCGCCGGCGGAGTCAATCGGTCGCTTCATTTCGTCCCGGGACCACTTTTGCTGCCGGATCCCGGGCCTCGTACGTCCGCGCTCCCTCCATCTTCATTCGCAGGCCTGTGCGCGTCCTGGAAGAAACCCTTCGCGGCGTGAGCGTCTCCAACGGTAGCCGGGCTTGGCGGCGTGGGGTCTGCGGGAGCCCTGCCCCCGGGCCCGCCCCTCCTCCCCGCTCCCTTCCCGGCGGGTCCACTTCGCCAGCCAAGCAGCTAGATACCAGCACAAGTCCGTTAATCCCCGTCTGGACTGAGCCGCCTTTGGCTTCGGAACTGGAATTTTGCAGCTAACCCATTCAAAACTAGTACTTTAGGTATTGGGGGGAGTTTCAGATGGACTAATTTTATTAAAGGGTTGTTTTTTTCCTAAAGAAAAGTGAGGTGTCTTCATTTTGCGAAAGGGTTGTAGAGTCGACTCTAGATACCTAAAGGTAGTGGGAGAGGGGGAACCGATATAAGGCTTTACTGTTAACTGGAGCGACAAATTGTAGCTTATTAAGATGATGGGTCTTAAGAAAGAAAAAGAAAAAAACGGTGGGTCTTTCTTGGCGTTCCCTGGGAGACTTGATTCTGTCAGAAAATGGGAACTATTGACAGGCCTTTTTCAGGAGAACTTTGAAAGGGTCCTAGCTTCTGAGATCAGGCATAAATAAAGGGTTTTGAGTTTTGTCCTTTTCTGCAGCCCCACCAAAAACAAATACCACCTTCACATTTGGTTTATTAGTAGAACTGGTTACATTCAAAGGCTGTGGCTTATTAAGATTTTTTTTCTCTAGAGAGGAAGCCCCCACCTACTGGGGAGGCAAGGCGCCACGGTGAGACAAGTCTCTGCCCCTGCAGTTCAGCCCTGTGGGGTAGTCACTCCTCAGGTAGCAGAGGGCTGGGGTGTAGGCACCGGGCACCAGCAAGGCAGGCACCTGTGCCCCACAGGCCAATTAGTGGGCTTCATTGAGCTGCCGTGCAACGTCCAATATGTTCTTAGCACCTTTGTTCAGCAATAAGGTGGCCAGACTGATGCCCAGGTTCTCAGCAGCCAGCTGGGGTTGTCGTGGAATGTTGTGGGCAGTGATGCCCACCAGCTGTGGATCATCCTCAGGGCCATCTTCATGCTGGATAGGGAAGAAGGGTTGGGTTTGGTGAGAACGAAAGGGAAGCTAACAAAGGTGTGTCCCCTCCCTCCAGCCCTGGCACCTGGACAGGGACGTGGATGGTGGTCTGCATGGTGTCCTGCATGGTCTCTGCACCATTCAGACTCCAGACTCCTCCAGTCAGGTACAACTGGGAAAGAAAATGGCTGCCTCAGTAGACTGTCAGAACTACTTAGAAACCTGTGCTCTTCATGCTGGTGGATACACAGGGGAAACACCAGAGTCCCTTCCCTGCCCTCCCACCCATCTTCCCCTGCTTACTTGCCCATCCTTAATAGCTGTATGCACTGCCACTGGCACACTGCAACCTCCTTCCTGCAACAAGTTCTCCCTGTTAGCTAAGACCCTTATCACCACCCTGTAACCAGAGCCCACAGAGATAAACAGACCCCCGCTAAGGACATAATGGAAAATGAGGCAGGGGCCCAGACCTGTCCTGTCCATTCTTGAAAGAATGAGTTATGACTAAATACACAGCATTGAGAAATCTCCCCATTACCCTTCCTAATACCCACCCCTCCACAGGAGCACAGGTCCTACCAGGTGCCTCAGGAAGGATCGTTCAGCAATGCAGCGAAGTAGAGTCTCAGGATCGTGCAACACACCCACCAGATCCAAGATGTCCTGGTCTTTGGCTCGAACTTCCACACCCAGAGCCCCCTGATGGGAAAATAGCCTAAGATACCAGAACCAATCTTTTCCCAGCTAATAGAGCTAAGGGACAGTACTTGGTTGAAAACAAAAGGGGACAACAACACATGGCTTCGCTGGTCGAGCATACCTGACCCACAGCATACATGCACTCCTCAGGGTGCAGGATCTGTGGGGGCAGAAGAGGCAGTCAGAAGGGTGGAGGTAAGGGTGCCCAGAAGCACACAGCACTGAGTTGGGGTTTCCCTACCTACAGAAAGCCTGGATAAGCAAAAGTGGGAGTCCAGCCTCTGATCCCCAACCTCCCCAACCTGGGACTCATTTCCAGCTTGCACTGGCTAGAGGTGGGTATTCAGAAAGAATATAGGCAGGAAGGAGATGAAGATAACTAGAGAGGGGAGACGGACAGGCCCTACCTGCCCCACCCGGTTCTGCCAGCCCATGCGCTGCAGGCCAGCTGCAGCCAGGATGATGGCACTGAACTCCTGCAGCTCATCCAGCTTCTGCAGCCGCGTGTTGAGGTTTCCCCGCTGTGGAGAGACGCTAAGGACCACAAGATCTGGGCAGGCTGGAGCCTGATACTGTTTCCTCTGCCTGAGTCTCTCTAGCTGCTAACTTCTCACCTTTGAGTTCTCAGCTTGGTGACAACTGCTAACACTTACTCATACTTGCTATATGCCACACACTGTCCTGAAGTGCTTTATATACATCAATTCACTGAATTTTCACCAAAGCCCTAGGGTGATAGAGTAGGCAGTAGTAGTACCATCTCCATTTTACAGATGAGGAAATGATACAGAGAGGTTTTAAGTTATTATATTTAACCTTACCCAAGGTTACAACACCTCTGAGAAGCCTTCCTTGACCCTCAAGTCTGTTTAGATGTTCCAGGTATAAGCCTCCAGAGAATTCTCTACTTTCCACATTGAAGCACTTAGCAAATACTACTTTGAAAATCAGCTTTACAAACAACTGTAAAAATCAAAACAATATGGTGGAATATAAAATAAAAATGGATTTATGGTTACCAAAGGGGAAAATAATGGGGTAGGGATAAATTAGGAGTTTGAGATTAGCTGATACAAACTACTACATACAAAACAGATAAACAACAAGGTCCCACGGTATAGCACATTGGAACTATGTCCAATATCTTGTAATAAACCACAATGGAAAATAATATGAAAAGGAATATGTATATATAACTGAGTCACCAAATCACCAGAAGTTAACACAACATCGTAAACCAACTATACTAAAATTAAAAAGTTTAATTAATTAAAATGGAAGCAACTGCCAATCCCACTGCCTCCATGTAATCATTATTCAGCATCACTCTGTGTTGTCAATGCCTGGTTGTTTGTCTCCAGAACTAAAATGTAAACTATGTTAGGAGGGACAATGCTGATCTTCCTCACCATATCCCCAGTGCCAGACACTTGCTTGGGGCTAAAAAAACATGAAAGGATTATGAATGGATGGATGGATAGATGGGTGGGTGGATGAATGGGACAACATGCAGTCTACTGCATTCACAGTCCACCTCCTCTGGAAGTCCTTCCCACTCACAACTCCCAGGGCCCTCTGGACTTTGTCTTCCTCCTTGGCTGCTGCCTCCTCCCTTCTCTGAAAGGATACAATACTCTTGAACTCCAGATGTGGGAACTTTCTCTGCAGCTGGGCTGCTCTCCGCAGGGAGCTAGTTCCTACCACGCTGTGCAGAAAGATGGTTTAAAATGATATTTAACCCTAAGCAGGAACTGTTCTGAAATCTCCTCCTTCCACCCCTCCATCTGCTGTACATATCCCAAGATGCCTGTCCACTCACCTCTTCTCTGGCAAGGTTTCTAGAGTCTTCCCAACAAATTTTGGGTGAAAGACAACAGCATCATAGGGGCTCTCCCGCCTGGAGATGGAGAGGTCATAGAATGAGGGAAGGATCTCAGTTCAGGTCACTTCCAGTCTCTCTAAACAGTCAACTAACTAGCATTTTCTGAGTTTTCTGCCATGCATGACATTCCTTAGGTTAGGAGAGACAGCCTAGAGACAGAAGGCCAAGTTCCAAGGGGAAAAGTCAAGGTTAATGTGATTTCCCTGACTGGCAGGGATCTTACTTGCAGACAGCGCCAATGGTGAAGCCAGGAGGAAGCACCGTGGGCAGGTCCTTCAGCGAGTGAACAACCAGGTCCACTCTAGGGAGATGGGAGAGAGGCAAGAAGAGTCTGAGCAGCAGGCCCCAACCCTTCTCCACTCACTCCTGCCTGTTTGTCACTGGTGGAGCCTAGAGCAGTTCAGGAAGCAGGCATTTCTGAGACCTTGGGTCCCTGAGACTTGCTCCCCCTCCTCTCTTCCCTCTCACCCCTCTCCCCCATCCAGTCCAGCACCCCAGGCAGCCAGATGGCTCAGATCCAGGACTCTCTCCTTTTCTGAGGCCTGAAAAACTCACATTTGAGCCCCTCTCTAGCCTATCCAAGCATTTAAGCCTAACAGTCTAGCTGACACCCAGATGTGATGTGCACTGGGGTCCTAGTGAGAGCTTGGGATGGTGTCATGCTCCCGATTTCACTTACTCATTCCTCTCCAAGGCATGCTCCAGCTCCTTGGTGAACAGGCTCTTCTCTCCAATCTGCCAGGCAAGAAAGAACTTCAAGGTGAATCTTTGGGGGAAAGAAAAGAGAAGCAGGGAGGAAAGGGTTGGATGAAAAATGGTGTTACCTTAGAGAGCGCGGTATCAAGAATCTTGTCCCCCGTGGTGGACATAGCAACTGAAGAGAAAGTCAACCAATTAGATGCTCATGGAACAGCACTTTCTGAGCCCCTCCTAAGCCCAGCTCTTGTGCTAAGATCGGCACTGGATAGAGAGGCACAAAAGTGACAGATCCTATCCCCTGAGAAAGTACAATCTAGGAGGAAGACCAGACGCAATCATAAGAAGACCCAAAGCAGAAGATGTTAAAATGTTAGGCTAGCCCAGGTAAGCTCAAAGCTGGACGTGTTCAGAGGAGGAATGGCCCTCTAAACTGGGGATAGCCAAGAACTCTCGGAGGCAATGGGACCAGGCTCTAGTCAAAGAAACCCCCTCCAGCGGGGGTAAAAGCTTCCCATCAGCTTCCATTCCTGTCCAGAAAACTCACTTATTTCAAACTGCAGGCCTGGGTATAAAGCTTTCAGCATTGCCACCACACTGTCCGTCTGTATGCGAGCCAGCTGGGGGAAGAAATTCAGGTTAGCCCTGTAGTCTGGCCACTGCCCTAGGCTCAAATCCTCACAGGGTCATGGAGATCCTGAAGGGACTGGAATTCAGAGAGGGGATTGAATGGCCACCTAGGAAGGGGAGGGGTCTGGACTAGGAGTCCTCTGTACCCCCAATAACTTCCCCAGCCTAGCGACTATCTCTTCACAGAATGCCATCTGTCATTCTGCATGGGATTTAATGCTCAGTCACCCCATTTCCTTCATCCCCAGGCTGCTGAGAACCCTCTGGGCCCCCCAACTTATAATACTATGAACACAGAACTCTTCGGACAAACCTCCTCCACCCTGGTACCTGCACTAACCTGGCTCTTGCGGGTACCCACTCGAATCACTCTCATCTTTGGGGTGTCTTCTTCCTGCAAAAAAAGTCCCCAGGTTACAGTTCCCACTGCTGTTCGAGGTCCTCAAAACCTTGTCCAAGAACCAGAGTCACTGGCTTGGAATAAAGGATCCTCAGCCCCTTCCCTGTGGCCACCTGAGCCTCAGAGTGGGGAAAGACTCTCCAAGACAGTCCTTTAACTTCCCTAATACCTTCTGCCTCCTCACGGATCCAGAGAAGCAGAGACCAGAGAGAGACGACAGCAGGACCCGCTGTTGCTCTAATGCCAAGGACACTAAACCTGAAGCCCATCTAAGCAAAGGCACCAGGAATGCTGCACCCAACCAGGTGGATAGAGAGATAAGGCCCATCAGCCTGGCCCCAGAGAGGGCGGGCCTGCAGCAGGCAGGGGCAGGGCAGCTGGGGCCACACAGGGGAACTTGCGCTGAGTCACTGAGGACAAGTTCAGCATCCCCAACAGAGCAGCACTCAAGAAAGCGTCAGTGCTACCTAGGTACTGTAAGACCTACCCAATAGCTGCCACACTATGGATCCCGTAATCTGGTTGGTATGCAAATATAAAGGACTGGGGTCAATAGATCTGACATATAGTCCTGCTCAGCCTCTTGGCAGGGTGACCTTAAATTCACCATCTTTGTTTTTCATCTATAAAGTTATTTGTTCATCTATAAAATGAAATTTGCACTTAAGTATGTTCTGCTTTTGATATTCTATAAGACTAAGGGGATAAACTATCTAATGTCCCTTCACCTAGAATGTGGCCTCTGATTTCACCAAGAAGGAAATATTAGGATGTCATAGACCAAGCCAAGAACTCAATGGGACATACCTCTTCCTCTTGTCAGTGTACCTTGGACAAACGTAATCAGTGCCAACCAGGGAGAACTGAGTTCTCCAGTCTGAGGTCCTATTTCTTTCCAGATCAGACAATAGCCCCTACAGACACTATCAACTTTCCCTATTCTGGAATCTTCATCCTATGGAGTTCTTCTGCAGCCAGCTATCTGGGGCCTCTGTTACTAGAGGAGGTAACAGCTGGTTGCTCTCAGACTCTAGTCTGCTCCACAGCTATCACTTCTCCAATAAATAAACCCTAGGGTACCCTGAGCAAATTAGACTAAGCTCAAAATGACAAACATGGCCACTAAAATTCTGGGCCACAAGGAGCCCACAGAAACATCCCAGAAACTGCTATGTTCAAACTATCCCTTAATTTTATTGACTCTGCACAGAATATTCAAGTAAAAAGATCCTTATCAAGTACGTATATACTAGAGCTATTGCTATTAATCTTCATAACAACTTAGCAGGTAGAGAGGAACCATGTTATAGAAGCAAAGGCTGGCTGTGAAGAGCAAAGCAACTTGACCAGGGCCACAGGTTAAATCATGGGTGCATGCCTGTGCAGGTTCAGTCATGTCTGACTCTCTGTGACCCCACTGATTGTAGCCCACCAGGTTCCTCTGTCCATGAAATTTTCCCAGCAAGAATGCTGGAGCAGGTTGCCATTTCCTACTCCAGGGGATCTTCCGACCCAGGGACCGAACCTGTGTCTCCTGCATTGGCAGGCGGATTTACCACTGGGTAAAGAATTCTTTACCACTGAGAGTTGGAATCCACATCTTGTTACTTCTAGTCCAGCTCTCAGGTATGTCAACAATGGCAAAGAATCCCACTCCTTACCAGCAGGTAGTTCAGGAAGAGATAAACAACTTCTCCCCTCCTTATCTCAGGCTGACTTTGGCCTCACCGGCTCTGCACTTTGCATCTGCACAAGCCCAAAGCTAGGACCCCAGGCTAAGGATAGGAAGGCTCGAGGGCGCTCCCCACCTACAAAGGTAGTAACTCAATGGTGCCTCAGGGGGGGTTATTTTGAGTGTAGGTTGGGGCTAGGTGGCCGTTAAAAGAAAAAAAGGGGGAGAAGGTGCACTTCCAAAACGTTTGTGTGTAGTTCGGAGACTTAGAGGTAAGCTCTCTTCCCTCGGTCCGAAGTGCCTCGGACCTGTCTCGAGTGAAGGGATCCCATGGAATAGCACCCTGTCTCGTGTACATGAATCTTCCTGGGTTGGGTCACTAAATCTAGAGCCGTGGACTCCAGGCCTCATGGAATGCCATTCAGATCCCCGCAGCAACGTGGTTCCAGTCCGAGACAAACCTTTTGCTCTTAAGTCTGTCCTCACCGTTCACAGATTCCCCTAGGGCAACACGGATTTTAAGGGCAACCCAGCTACTGGCCCTTTAAAAACTATTCGGGCCAAAGGGGGTTGAAAAAAAAAAAAAAAGACAGATAATCGTCCCGACCAATAGGTGACGGACAGTGGCAACTTGGGGCCAATCGTTGCACCGCTAGTGCGGAAGACTGAGGTTGAGCGGGTCACCGGCTCTGAACTCACCGCCGTTTCGGCCGCGTTGCCATTACCAGACATGGCTGTGCTCAGCAGGTAGGCCGGGGGCTGCCGCCAATGTCCTCCGGTGTCGGGGAAGCCGAAGGCCCCTGCCGGCCGGACACTGGGCTCGCGCAGGTCTCCAGCTTCTCCAGCAGCCACACACTCCCGGCTCCGCTAAAGGAATACGTCACTTCCGGCTCCGCCCGACGGGGCGGGACTTCCCCTGGGCGGGAATTAGAACGATTGCAACAGCAAAGACCTTACCTGGGGTTACCATCGCTAGTGATATTGCAACCTTACTTATTTAATTTATATGCAGAGTACATCTTGCGAAATCCCGAACTGGATGAAGCACAAGCTGGAATCAAGATGGCGGGGAGAAATATCAATAACCTCAGATATGCAGATAACACCACCCTTGTGGCAGAAAGCAAAGAATTAAAGAGCCTCTTGATGAAAGTGAAAGAGGAGAGTGAAAAAATCTGGATTAAAATTCAATGTTAAAAAAACTAAGATCATGGCATCCGGCCCCATCACTTCATGACAAATAGATGGGGAAACAATGGGAACAGGACAGACTATTTTCTTGGGCTCCAAATCACTGCAGATGGTGACTGCAGCCATGAAATTAAAAGACGCTTGGTTGGAGAAGGAAATGGCAAACTACTCCAGTATTCTTGCCTGGAAAAGTCCATGGACAGAGGAGCCTGGCGGACTGCAGTCCATGGGGTTACATGACTGAGCATGTGTGCACGAGGGTGGAGGGAGATGGGTTGGTAGCAAAAAACTGGTAGAACTAAAAATAAATAAAGACGCTTGTTCCTTGGAAGAAAAGCTATGACCAACCTAGACAGCATATTAAAAAGCAGAGACATTACTTTAGTGACAAAGGTCTGTCTAGTCAAAGCTATGGTTTTTCCAGTAGTCATATAAAGATGTGAGTTGAACCATAAAGAAAGCTGAGTGCCGAAGAATTGATGCTTTTGAACTGTGGTGTTGGAGAAGACTCTTGAGTCCCTTGGACTGTAAGGAGATCCAACCAGTCCATCCTAAAGGAACTCAGTCCTGAATATTCATTGCTAGGACTGATGCTGAAGCTGAGGCTCCAATACTTTGACCACCTAATGCAAAGAACTGAGTCACTGAAAAGACCCCAGTGCTCGGGAAGATTGAAGGCAGGAGGAGAAGGGGACGACAGAGAATGAGATGGTTGGATGGCATCACTAACTCGATGGACAGGAGTTTGAGCAAGCTCTGGGATTTGGTGGTGGACAGGGAAGCCTGGCGTGCTGCACTCCATGGGGTCACAAAGAGTCGGACATGACTGAGCGACTGAACTGACTGAGCGCTCCTACTCTCCAAGGCTAGCTCCAGTCTTCATTGTTTTGAGACCCAGGCCCAACTATTCATTTTATTTTTACCTAGCCAGGAGTACCGATGTCCTTTGGCTAAAATATGCTCCCCAGATTTACCCACAAAATAAGTTCTTTGTTGTCCCTACTGCCCCCCAAAAGTCAATAAGCCAAAAGTGGGAGTCCCTGAGAAGAAAAGGATATTAAGCCATACTATGCAGGGTTGCGGACTTCCCAGGTGGCGCAGTGGTAAAGAACCTGCCTGCAAGTACAGGAGACACAGGAGATGCAGGTTGGATCGCTAGGTCCAGAAGATCCCCTGGAGGAGAAAATGGCAACCCACTCCAGTATTCTTGCCTGGAGAATCCCATGGACAGAGGAGGCTGGTAGGCTACAGTCCAGGGCATCTCAAAGAGTCCAACATGACTGAGCACCCATACAAGTATGAGGGTTGGAAGTAAGGCTACTTGAGCAATTTACCATGCCCCCAGGCTGGATTCAAAGTCTACAAATGAAAAGGGCCTGCTGTTGAAAGTTAATCATCCAGAATTCTACAGCTTTATCTCCTTAGCTGTGTCACAAGCAATTAGTGCAGCTTATGCAGTGCTTCTGCTACAACCCTGAAGTAGGCAACACTTTTTATTTTAAAAAATATTTATTTTGGGTGCTCGCTTCGGCAGCACATATACTAAAATTGGAACCATACAGAGAAGATAAGCATGGCTCCTTCACAAGGATGACAACGCAAATTCGTGAAGCGTTTCATATTTTGCTCTTTTTCCCATGGTCCAGATATTGCCTCCAGCCCAAAGGAAATGCCTTGGGCACGCAATGCTGAAATTGTGTTTTTTTCACTATTAAAAAAAAAAAATTTATTTTGGGCAGGGCTGGGTCTTCATTGCTGTGTGGGCTTTTCTCTATAGTTGCAGTGACCCAGGGCATTTCTATTTTTAAAATGAGTCAAAACTGGCTCAGAGATCCAAGGTCATGCCTAAACACAAATAACTGTGAAATGGGAGTGCCAATACATTTTTAGTATTAGCCAGGAAAGGACTTGTTAGTAACGCTTTACCCATTAACAGTGCTAATAATTGTCTATTAATCACTTCCACAAATCTGGACACCTGTCGTCCATACCAGCCCCTGAGGGCTAAAAATGTCCAAACTTGACTTACCTATGTGTGTTTCAAAAGCACCTAGTATTTGACAGAGATGTTTTGCAGTTGAACTTTAAAAGATATGGGGTGGTCAATAGCCCCAAAGCAGATGAGAACTGGTGGTGTCCTAAAGCTACCTTTTCTTCATCACCATGCCAAGATCCCTGCCCAAGGGGGCTATCTGTACACTACCAGGTACAATTCCTGCCATGTGCAAAGAAGCATGGAAGACTGTCATGCCCAGGCTGCCCCCCCAAATCTCTGCCCCTTTCCTAGAGTCGGACCTGTCTGCCTCCTATTTTTTGAATTCCCTTACTCCCCTCCTTGCAGGGAGAAGGTGTCTTTAGAGCATGTGCTCTCTCTTCTCCATTCCTTCATCAGTGAATACAGTTTCTACTCTGCTATACCAAACTTGATTTCTACTGGCATTTGCAACTTCAAGCAAAGGATCCATTGAGGAGTCACCAACCTGCTGGGGACCAGTAACACATCCATTGATTGGCTCCTTAAAGCTTCATAACAGCCATACCAGAAAGATGTTGTAATTCCTTATGCATAGACGAAGAACTGAGGTTCAGAGAAGGTTCAGAATTGCCTTAAGTGGAACTAGGATTCAAGCTCTGGAGAGCTGATCCAAAGTCTGTATTCTCAGCTGCTACCAATGTAGTGCACTCCACCTTTTCTAAATACTGTGTAAACCACAATGTCCAAGTTACTTCTTTTAATCAAACAGACCCATAGGAGCAATTTTCCAATGGGCAGTGTAACCCAAATGACACACAGACACCTATAACAACACAAACTTCAGCTGACAACTTCCAAGAGAGAAAAAAATGTTTCATAAAGGCCCTTTTTATCCTGCTTATCATCTGGTGCTGAATACAGCAAGACACCGACCCACCCATTATGAAGGCAAGCTTCAGTCCAAGGCCCCTCACCAGACTCCGCCTCCTGCCTGAACACCTTGTCCACACAAGAGCCAGAGACCAGCCTCACTACAGAGCAGCCTCAGTCCAGGCTGCTCTTGGGCCTCAGGCCTTAGCCTTTGCAGACTTTCTTCAGTAGACTGAACTGTGCTAAATGCCAGAGGCCTGGCTTGTTACTGGCATGAAGTCTCGTTAACATCATCTTTAAGGAACTCTGTAGCAAGGGAAAGGACGCTCTAGGAGAGCAGAGGGAAAGAAGTACATTTTACAGTTAAGAATCACCAAGAAGTCTCCACAATAAATCCTTCAACCCCGAAATCATTATATGTTTTTATTTATAGACTCTGGGAGCCAGGACCCAAGCACAGCCTGGTGCTCTTGGATAGAGAATAAAGCAGCTATTGTCCAGACTCTGAGGTTACTGAGGTGCCCTCCCCCGCTGGTCTGGAATGATCTACACTGCTCAGAAAGGCAACAGGAGGAAGAGTGGATTGGCCAGCCAAAGAAGGAGGCAGGAAAAGAAAGTCCCCTTAAGTCCTGAGGGCAATGGCATCAGATGAGAGGGGGGTCCTGGGTAGGTCTCCCCGACTCCTATGCAACAGCGCTGTCTCTGTGTCCCTGCTGCTGGGCCTCTACTGTCACCCCCCTTCCCACTAGCGCCTACGTGCCCCTCCTGGCGTGCATGAGCAAGTCGCGCTGCAGCCCGGCCTCCAGGCTCGCAGTCAGTCGGGCTGTGGGCGGGTCGGTCAGCAGAGTCAATTTGTTGAAAACACCTCGGCCAAAGTAGTCAGCAATCACAGAGAAGCTGTCGTTGGAGCACTTGAGCTGAGGAAAGAGAAAAGGTCAGAGTCAGAACCCAAAGGAGGAGGAAAAGTGGGGCAGTCATGTGGCCACTCCCCCCGCCCCCCAACCTGGTGCTGGAACTGATCGTGGAGATCTCGCTTCTGTTCCTGGGCCCGGATCATATCCATGACCTTGCGGTTTTCAGGGAGGCAGGTGGGGCAGTCAGCGTCACTTTCTGAGTAACTCTCAAAGCAGTGTTGGTGGAAGGAGTGGCCACAGAGAAAGTGGACTGAGGGCAGCTCCAAGGCACTGTTACAGATGCTGCACTTGGTCTTCTGGAAAATCTTCGGACTACAGGCAAAGGAGACCAGAAGAGTGGCAAAGAGTGAGGGCAGGGCCAGGAGCCATGTGGAAAGAGGAGACAGCTCGACAAAACAAGGAGAGCAACGTCCCCATTAAGCAATGACAAGGGACTCCCTTGAAGGTCCAGTGGTTAAGAATCTGCTTGCTAATGCAGGGGTCACAGGTTCAATCCATAGTCTGGGGCAACTAACCCTGTGCCCTCCAATTACTAAGCCCATGCTCTAGAGCCCACAAGCTGCCAACTACAGAAGCCCACACATCCTAAAGTCCATTCTCATCAACAAGAGATGCCACCATGATGAGAAGCTCAAGCACTGCAACTAGAGTAGCCCCTCACCACAACTAGAGAAAGTCTGTGTGCAGCAACAAAGACCCAAAGCAGCAATGAATGAATGAATAGGAACTACGAGGCCCTGATCTTCCTACCACCTAAAGGAGGTCACAAGAGGATCCCACGT